TAAGATAAAGAACAACAGCTCGACCTGGAGCTGGGCTGCTGTGAGTCGCTGGTGATGGCGTAGGCTGCAGCAGGGCTACATGAGTGGCTGGCAGCCAGCGTGAGCGGCCGGCAGCCGGTGTGAGCTGCTGGGAACTGCTGTGAGCGGCAGACCAATAACCGGCGACAAATCTGCCTCATCCAGGAAGAGCACAATGATCATACCAACATGGGCCAGTGAAGCGAAGTCCTCCACAACTAGACTGAAGAACAAAAACAGCAATTTGTCTACCTGTCTGTTCCCCTTCCCTGATTCCCCAACGCTGTTCCCCTCCCCCTAATTCCCCAATAAAATCTTAAAAAAAAAATCAGATAAACTCTCTCACTCTCTAGACATGGATGCTAGGAATGGGTGTTCCCAACGGGAGCATGAAGGACAGGGCATGAATGCCTGGCCACTCACCCCATTGACCTCACATTTTGTCACACCGGCAGATTCATATGTGAACCATAGGTGAACAGGGTAACACTGCTCACATTAGAGGGGTGACCAAACTCAACAGGCTTTCTTTAAAAAATCACAAAATCAAATTCTATGGGTTCTTTAAAAAGGTTTGAGCAAAATACATATTTTAACAAACAAAAAAAAAAAAAGAAAAGAAAAGAAAGGAAGAGGGAGAGAAGGAAGGGGAGGGGAGAAAGAAGGGAAGACAGACGAGTCGGGAGGGGCAATCAGAGCCTCGAAGGCCAGTCTCTGTCCTGAGCAGCTGTAGCATCATGGGAGCTTGAAAGTTTGGGAAGATGTACAAGGATGAAGCTGGCTTCCACCTCACCGGTGACAGCAGCTACCAAGAGAAGTTAACAACCAACAGCAACCCAGGCCAGGATTCTCCCCAATTATCCTTTGCCCCAAATTACAAAGGACTAATACATAATGAGTTTGGTTAATGTGCTTGGTCTTTTGTGATACCTTTTCTTCAAAGAGCTTTGGCAAGGAGATATGCTTTGCCATCTTTTTCTAACAGCACCAGGAGAGAAGAGAATACGCTCGTAGATGGGTGGCTGAATTGAGGGTTTGTCTAGAAATCAAGTTTTCAAAGTGTTAATTACGATGAGAAACTGACTGCCACCAAAACAAAGAACCTTAAAATCTAAATGGAAAGTGGGAGGCTTGTAAGCTACTCTATGGTCCTGGAATATAAATCGGGAAAAAGAACTTGATTGCTATACATTAAGTTGCTGTCAGATAGACTCCCGGTGTTTCATCTCATTAACCTTGATGCTAAATAACAACCCTCTCTCCCCAAAAAGATTTTGCCCATCTCTGGTTTTACCCACTCAGCCTGCCCATTTCAAGGAGGCAAAAGAGTGTAGTGGTTGAAAAAGCAGACTTCTGACTCTCAGACTGAATCAAGGTCTCACCAACCTCTCTGTGTCCCAGTTTCTCATCTGTAAAGGGGGAAGAATAATAGTAATGGACCCTCAAGACTGGTGTGAATATTAAGTAAATTATATCCATATAGAGAGTGAAGAATGGGGTCCAGCACATGGTGAGCCCTCACTAGAAGTTGGCTAATGGTGATGATGATATTCAGGCTTAATCTGGTTCATATTAACACAAGGTTAGGAAGCAGACAGTGGGTGAATTGGGAAAACCTGAACACACACTGATCGCGAGATTCCTAATACTGGGTCTTAGATAATGTTTTTGACATAAATACATGGAACAAATGGATTCTGAGCTAAGACCTTGTAAGACCGAGTAGAGAGGCTCCAGTGAAGCGCAGTGTTAAGGATGCGAAGGTAACACACTGAGCTCCATGATAAACAACTGGCAACACATCCTTCTCCAACCCAGAGCCTCACAGGCACCCTCACATACATCACTAGCCAACCAACTTCATTCGTAGCTGGAGCTTAGAAATATTTTTAAAACCCAGGGTTTCATCACTCCAACATAACCCTATTACCATTTTGGCAAATTGTCTTCCGGCCCTGTAGTAACCATTCTGTGTTATTTCAAGCTTTGTGCTCCTTTAAAAAATGGTTGCATGACATCCTAGGTATGAAGAACCACACAATGTACTTGACAAATCCTCTAGATTTGGACTTTTAGGTTATTTCCAGTTTTTCACTTTTACAAACAACAACTTGTGCATGTAACGTGCTTCTTTTTGAGAGTCTGCATTTAGAACTGTTTCCTTAGGAAGTTTTCCTAGAAGTGGAATTCCTGAAAGTCAACCCCTCTGAATGTTTGTATGTCCTTTAAATTACTCAACTTTTACTGGGTTGTTATGCAGTGCCCAGCACTGTGCTCAGATCGAGGACAAAAGATGAACAAAATATAGTCTTGGTGTTTGTCCTCAAGGAGTTCACAGGCAGTGAGCAGGAAAGCATACTGCCAAACAGTTTTTCCATGGGGTGGCACAAATTTATATTTCCTAATCAATTCCCTAAGGCATAGAGCACACTTCACCACATCTAGACTATCAAGAGCCAAATAAACCAAACAAAACCTGGGCTTACTAGTAGGTAAAAAATGAAATCTTGTTTTAATTTGAATTAATATTTACTGATTAGCTGTGCCTCCCCCTTTATGAATCACTTCATGTTTTTGCTGATCTTACTGGGATGTTGGTATATTTCGCATTGATTTGTATGTTTTCTTGACACAGCAAAGACATGAGTCCACCATCAGTATGTATGGCCACACTTTCTCCTGGTTTACCAGCTAGTCTATTTTTTCCACACTTAGAATGACTTTCACTAATTTGTCCTTGGAGCTATTCCATTTGGCCTCTATTGAGAAATTTCATAAGAAGCTACTCAATGAAACCTGAATGGATATTTGAAGAGATTACATTAGTTTCCTCCAGAGCCCACAAAAGAAATTTCTGATACCAGGAATAATTATGCTACTCCTGAGCAGTGGCGTTTATTTTTATGTTATGAACACAGTGAATCATGGGACTGATGTCTTCTTTACATCAATTCCAAGAAAGGGTAGAGTCAACTGTACAGCTCACCACTTGCAAATGCAAGCACTTTCAAGGCATGCATTTTTGTACTTAATTCCTGGCTTTACCGCACCTTCCCTACTTTCATTTTCCCTTTGTTTAATTTTCCCTATCCATTTATTTAAAAAATTTAAACCAGTTATTAAAATTATGAGATATAAAAATGTATTAGCTATAAAGTAAAAGTCCCACCAAACACTGTGTTCGAACACAAAGAACTAAAGGACACAGTCTGGCTGTTAAGCTGACAAGCTAGTGGGCAAGAAACAAGCAAACACACAATTATCAACAAGTGCAATAAGTGATATAATAGAGAAAAAGTGATATGATAGAGAAAAAGACAGGAAAGACATATACTTCAGACTAAAGGGCTCTCTGGAATGACTTCTGGGAGAAAAAAATGCAGAATCCAGAGGGAAAAGCAGTCTAACAGAGAAAGAGGCAAAGAGAGTCCAAGTGATAGAAAAAAACCTTACATATGCTAAGCTAAGGAGTTTAAACTTGACTTTGAAGACCACGGAGAACCCACTGCAGGATTTCAAATGACATGATCAGATCTGCATTTTAGAAAGAAATGTCTAGTAGTGGTATGTAGAACAGATTGATTTCTGGAAGTATTTCATATCATGAAATAAACATAATTTTATCTCTTCGTTTCAAATATTTATGGTATTTCATTTCTTATTGTATTGGCCAGTACAGTATTTTTAAAAAATAATTACTAAACTGTAAGATTTTAGGTCATAAATGGAAAAATTGTCCAAGGGAACAAAATAGAGATTTTGAAAATGATTTAAACTCTTTAAGAACTTAATATTACAAGCCAGAAGCAACATAACAACGGGGAGAGGGTTTGCTATTTAGGACATGTTGTTGGAATAGCTGGATATATCAGTACAGCACAATAAGAATTGCTTCCTACCACGCTGCTGCAATCTCATCAGGATGGGTCATATAGTTAAATGGAAGAAAAAAAAGAAAATGGAATAGCACATTTATTCCAGCTGTGGAAGGAAGATAAATTTCTGAGTATTGTGAAATAAAGGATATTATCAGAGACAAACTGAATAGGTATGACTATTTAAAAATAAAATAGTTTTGCCAATAAAATGAAAAAAGGGAGGAAGAAATAGCAAAGGAAAAAAATAACTGATATAGGCTTACAGCATATATGTATATGTACACACGTGTGTATAAATCTATTACAAATATGAAATAGGTATGGTCAAAAGAAACAGATGTTCAGTTTACACATAAATGAAATAATACTCAATTATCATTTGGAACATTGGATAGCTTCTCAGGAAATGAAAGACAGGTAAAAACCACCTTTAGGGAATTAAGTTACACACTTATTAAATTAAGAAATTGACAAAGAAAGCTAGAACACAACGTAAAGAAATGAATACTGATGTATTGCTAGTAGCACTGTCAACTACAAGCTCTCTAGAAAACCATACAATAAATGCAACAACTCTATATGCATGAATGGAAGTATATGTGCAATCATACACTCTGACCTCGTCAATGCATTTGGAAGAACTACATCCCCCAAAGGGAAAACAGTTATTTATTTAAAGACATTAAGAGTAGAACTATTCATAACAGGAAAAAATGAAAATAATCCAAGAACCAAAAAATGGTATAAAGGCTAAACGAACCATAGGATAGCAACAAGATATACCACAGTTTTTTAAAAGGACACACATATAGGGACATAAATAACTAGAAGTGCAAAGGAAGCAACTCAAACCAATGCTTTGCAAAACATGCACATATGTTTGTGAATTCAGAAGGATTTAGGTACAACAGGCCTGGGAGCTACCCAGAAGCCAACATAGTACGATCCAACTAACCGCACAAATGTTCTCTCCCTCTTTGAACATAACACGATACAGTCGGCACCTTCATCTTCCAGTGAGTGCCATCATAGGAACAGACATTCTGCTTTAAAGCTATGGTTTCTGGGAAGAAAAGCAACTGCCGAGCCATCTAATAGGCTTACCGTGAGTGTGGTCAGAGACATGAAGCCGATTAGGTTATTCCATACTTTATCGATGTCCTTTAGCAGCTGCTGGAGTTTCTCGCTGCACACTGCAGTGGCTTTTATCCCCAGCTCGACACGTTTGGTTACCCTGTACACCTCAACAACGCCTGACGGGGGAGAGAGGAGAGTTAGGTGGTGGAAGCCTAGAGAAAGGATGAGCAGGACAAGGCAGCATTACTGCCTGCCGATCTCTTAGCTGGAAGTAAGGACTGCATCTGGACAGGGGTGAACTTACTATTCCTCGGCACCAATCCACCTCTCAATGCTTCAGCATAACTGACTGGTAAGAGCAAACCTCTAGAGCTACACTGCCTGGGTTCAAATCCCAGCTCCGTCACTTACTGTGTAACCTTGGGCAAGTCTCATAACCTCTATGCCTCAGTTTCCTCATCTATAAAATTGGGATAATGGTAGTACCTCCCCAAAGGATGGCTGAGAGGATTAAATGGGTTAGTACAAAAGGCTTATTTTGAACAGTGCCCCAGGAACAGTAGGCATTATACATATATTAGCTCTTTTTTTCTGGCTTCTTTATAAGTCCATCTGTTTGAATTTGGGAAATACTGTTAAACTCACTGAAAGTGGGAATATTAAAAGTTTAAAAGAATCTGAATGTCACTATCATCACAAAGTAATTAAGAAATAGCTCATTCCTCTGAATGCCCAAGGATTTACAGACTCTGTGGCTTCATGTTTTATACACTTAACAGGACACAGAACTGTTCTCTTCTTACGGCTGAACTCTTTAAGCAAGGAAGATAGGTGCCAAGTATCTCTCCATTCTAAGGACAGCCATCAGACACACCCCCACCCTCACCCCAGCTTCCATAAGAGAGGACTGAAGGAACACCGGGGGTCCTCAGAGTGGTACAGCACCTGCCCTTGTGTAGGGCACTATGGCTTTTCCTCTTCCTTTCCTAGGGGAAGGGGAGGAATTACCACCCACCCTAAGCCAAGTGAGGGGGCTTCTAAGACGATTGTACAGATGCTAGGAAACCTACTAAAAGGAAAGACAGGCACCCCGTTACCGGTGAACATCTGTTTATGCAGAATTGTGCCTGTCTGGGTGGGAAAGAGGATGTAGAGGGAGGCGGCGAGACCACATCCCTTCACTATCCACTCATCCGGCAAATAGTTTTCGGGGACCACTATGTGCCAGGTACTAGTCTAGGTGCTGGAGGCACAGCAGTGAACAAAACAGGCCCAAATCCCTCCCCTCTTGGAGGTTTCTTCTAATGGAGGGAGACAGACAATAAATAAGAACAATAAGGAAAACACATGAGATATTAGAGGTGATAAGGCTAGGGAGAAAATCAAGGCGGGAAAGGGACAGGAAGTGCCAAGGTTGGGGCAGGGGATGTAAATAGTAAGTGGGGCCAGGGAAGAACCCATCAGATGGGGACATCTGAGTAAAGATCTGAAAAAGAACAGGTTCAGTGCATGTGGGTTGGGTCACGAGCCAAGCCTGAGCTTGGGGAGGGAAGGAACACTGAACTGGGCAAAGACTGAGGTTTCAAGTTGGAATGGGATGTTTAATAGCTGAAGGTGGCTAGGAAGTGAAGAAATCTGCGATGTCATTAAGGGGTCGAGAGGAAGAATCAACAGAGCATGGTAAGGCACCGAGTGGCGATCCAGTGATTTCATTTTAATGCCTCACCTAGTTCAGACTCTGATAAACCAGTAATACACATGTAGTTTTACATTGTTGCCATTATGTTATAACGAGGACTGGAAAACCTGGCCATAGAGGACTTAAACAGTTGTGACTGCCTATGACTTAGGTGTCTTATCTACAAATGCAGATGCTACTTAGTCACATGTAGCTTGAGAGATCAAAACTAAACTACTTAACATAAGGGAAAACTGAAAATATTTCAAAGTGTCATGACTTTGAGTAAGTAAAATATGAAAGAACATACCTAATAAATATTCCATGCCTTGAGCTGACTGAATCACTTCTGTGCACACAGAGCTACTACTGATTCCGTTTAAGGTATCATTTGCTTTCTTAATGACCTACAAGAAATAAAATCACATCACCTTATATAATCAGGGAAAATCATTGCAAATCAATTTACTATTAGTAGAAAACCCAGTGGAAAAGCCCGGAGGTGTGAAAAAGCATGACTAACTGATGTATGTAGATGACTATGCTGAAACAAATCTGAGAATTTAATTTTAACCTTGAAGAAACAATTCTCCATTTCTTTGGAAGAGAAAAGAGAGAGGGTTCTTTAGCTTAAATATTATTTTAATTTAGACGAAGTTAATGGTATTATTTTGTTATTTCTTAAACACAGCAACCGATATGGGCCCAGCTCACACATGAGCCAGTGCTACTACAAATGTGAAAGAAGCCTCCGTTAAGATGCGTGAATTTCCACAGAGCTTCACTCTGCACAAGGCCATCTAGGTAGGGCTCTTCCAGTTGGACTCTGTCCATTCAAATGAACCAAGAGGGCAAAATGACACAGGACAGCACTTACATAGAGGTCAACACCATAAAAGTGACATACTCACATCTAGGGCACTCCCCAGGCATCTCTGCCATTCGTATGCATATCTCTCATTCTCCTGTAAATTTTATAAAAATAACTGGGTTAAAAGGGCAAGTCTGGAATCCTCTATCACTCTCAATTCAGACAGCAATGGAAGACTTTCCTTTTTATGAAAATCACTCTAGCCCAAGCAGTTTATCTTATGAACCTACTGATGTCTATTTACAATTACTAATAACTGTAATTTCCAAGCATCGGACTTATAAATTTGAGGGACGTGTTTTGGAGCAACTTCCCTCTGCAAATGTTGCCTCATTTGTTCTAGTGGTAGTACAGACTTCTTCAAAGGTACTCTGCATGGAGGTGTCTAGTACAAGAGCCCATTCCAACCACCAGCCTTCCACAGTTATGATGCTGTGTGTGCGCGCATGCACACACATATGACAATGGGCGTGGGGAAGAGGACAGCTCAGGGTGTTGGCTGAGGAGGAAGACAGCATGGGACTAAGAAGCAGCCAACATAAACAGAAGATCCAGAACACTTCCCCTTTCTCCTCTATTTTCATCTTTTAACATTCACTACAAGGATAAAGTCTAAGTGCTCAAAAAGAATTCCCCTAAACACATCCCTCCTGGTGAAGTCCCACGAATAATTTCAGTTGTAAGGTCACTAACTACTTTCAGTGGATGCCCCATCTGGGAGGTATTTTTCATCCACAGCTAATGTCACTATTCTCTCACTTTAATTAGATAGTTTATGTCTGGTGCCTTGTGATTTTCTGCCCCTAGTGTCCCTATGTGAAAGCGGCAGGCCTTTTTTCTTGGGGCCCTCAGTGCCTGGCTGGTCTTTTACCTGCCCCCTGCGGAAAACTGCCCTACTCACCTCCACCTCTCCTGTAAGATCTTTGTACTTGTCACGGATGACAGGCAGAGCGGGCTTCTCACTCAGAGTATTGGAACGGTCTCTGAAAGGCTGCTCCAAAGCCGGAGAAGGAGAAGAACGGCTTATTTCTTTATCACCAAGGCTCAAACTCCTCTTGTGTGACCCTGGGAGAAGTGGACAGCATAGTTAAAGGTTGTGATGACTCAGCAGAGCCTCTTCCTTGCTACATGACCCTCTTCTTTGATGCTTATGTCATGAGGCATTCAGCAACACCACACTTATTCATTCTGTCTGCCAAGATACATGCTGAATCCTTTCCATTGTTCTCGCTTACTTGGTTTCCCTGCCTTTAATTTTCTCCATTACCCTTCCCTGATTTATCATAATTCTCCCATAATTCTAAGTGCAGTCACTGGAGTCTGGAAGACTAAAGAAAGTGTCTTTCTAAATATCAGTGCGTAAGAGTTGTGTTGCTTTTCCAGTCACTAGTTATAGATTTATACCAATCTCCTACATACTCTCTCACTCTCGAATCTAATTAAAATAATGATCCCTTCTGTCAAGACGGGCTTAAAGCAGAAGGGGCAAACTCAAATGACTTCAGGGAGCAGGCAAGTAAACAACTGAAGGTAGTCAGATGGAGATAGGGAGTGGAAGGGACTGTGACATTGGGGAGAGCACACCCCATCTATTAGAGGGGGCATTGCTACTCAGCTCCAGCTGATTGTCAAGAGGTGGGAATGCAGGCCTCATATTGCCAGCTATTACTTTTTAAGAAAAGCTAGAAATCCAGATTGTGAAATCTCATGATTTTTACATATTGGCAACTGCTTCACACATTGAAAAACCTTCTTTGTGGGTCAATCAAAGCAGGTCTGCAAACGGGGTCCAGATGTACAGCTGCCACAGCAGACTCTGAATTAAAAAATACAGTCTGTAGCCAGGGACCAAGAGTAGAGCTAACTTGCCCCAGGGGATCGAATCCATTTTTCTGGTTCTTTCAGCATAGCAGACCTCTAACCAAAGAAGCTAATGAACAACAGACCATGTGCTTAGCCCAAAGGGCAGTTACCTGAGGAATATTGGCTTGACTTCAGTTCAGTCTCAAGGAAACCTTTTTTTATATATAGGTACTTGTAGTAGACTCTGATTTTAAACACTGGAAAATCTATTTCCTGCTAAACTAGGGACCAACTTCTTATTCTAAGAAAGAATATCTAACACCTCAGTGGAAGAAACCATGACACTAAAATCTATGTTGAAAGCTACTCACCTTGAACAGAAAGGTCAAAGGTTGCCAGCTCACTTTTGATCATTTCTTCACTGGATTTCATTTTGCTTTGGGAATTGGCCACTAAAAAGTCAAATTTGCTGATTTTGGGCTTTTCGCTTTGAAACTCTCCAAAGTCATCTGAACATTCTTTGGGGGTGTCGTGAGAAGCACTGCTGGAAGCTGGGCTTGGACACGTGGCCTCGTGGCTCCGTTCAGCTGAAGGCAGGTCCTGTCTTGTGAAATCTTTATAGTCCCTGCTTTCATATTCCCTTTGCTCGCTGGTCTGAAGGATCACATCTTTAAAATTGGCAAAAGCTGGGAAGGTAGTCTCCGGAAGGGAATCTTCACTTGCGAAGGTCGTGACTTTGGACAGGGATGTCATGGTGATGTTTTCAGAACTACCGAATGAAGTCTCTTTCTTTTGAAGAACGGAGGCAGCTGAGGAGGATCTGCTTCCTGCTGAGAGGACAAATGGAGAGAGTTTTCTGCCCTGAGATGCATCGTCCCTGTCTGACCAGTCATAGCTCGTAAGTGTGCTCACTGCAAAATTGCTACTGTAGGTTCCAAAAGCAGCATATTTTAAGTCCTCTATATCTGAAAGGGAAATAAGACCCCACAATTAGAGGCGAGCTCATCACGATTTAGGCAAAATGCCCTAAACTCCGCAGAAGCAAAATGTCTAGCGTGTTTGATTAGCTTTATGCTATATTGGAGTTAACTAAATTTAGAGTTTGTACTAAAATTAAAAGAGTTGGGCTGTAAAATCTGATCTTTAAAAACCCACATTAGTTAGCCTTGAGGTGGCATTTATATTTAGTTACAAAGAGTCATTTTCTTTGGATATAAGAATTACTAAAAAAAGATAGGTTCATCTACCAATGTATGTATGCACTGTTTGATATGAAAACAGGGTCAGTCAATAAGTTGTCTGTTCACTTATAAACTTTAAAATGCATTTATTACAATATTCCCTGCCTAAAATGTCTCATTTGCCTTGACTTTGTTGAAAAATGTTCCTTTAAAACATGGTTATATGAAATGTACATGAAAAGCTAATTAAAAATCGACAGTTTCTCAAAACAAAACTGAAAATAATGCTACCTAAGTTGTAATCAATTTTTAGGTAATTCTGTCTCAAGGAAGGCCAAATATGAGATTTTAATTAAGTAGTTACTTACCTAGTTGTTATTTTGGTCAGTATGGACGTCACATTGCTGTGATGGAGTATGAGAAAAGAAAAATCGATCTAATTTATTTTTGCCTCTAAAAAGTAGAATCAAAGGTCTGAATCCTGTTGGGCTCCTACTTCTCCTTCAACTATGTGTCAGCCCCTCATTTTTTAAAAAAAAGGAGGAGGAGGAGGAAGAAAAAGGAAAAATGCTGGGGTAGAAGACTCATTTTACATTCTTAATACATGTTTAAATGATTTAAGAGGTAGCATAAAACAGCAGAAAGAACGTAGGTCTTTGATTTAGAAGTACCGGGGTTCAATTCCCAGCTCTGCTGCTTACGACTGTGTGACACTAGGCAAACTATTTAACATTTTTTTAAACCTAGGTTTGCTTATCTGTAAAATGAGGAGAAGACCATGTACTTGGAAGGCCTGTGTGGTGACCATTAACTGACAATGTGTGTAAAGGATCCCACCCAATGCCTGGCGAGCAATACACAATAGCAATATTTGTACAGCATGGTTGCCACCAGGCTCGATTTGTCATTTAGTTCTTGCTTTAGGTCCTGAAATGAAATTATCTCAAAGTAAAAATTAAACATCAACTCATCACTTTGGTGGTCTCACTCGGGAAACTTCCTTGCCCATTTTCAAAAAGCAACAAGCTGAGGCTGAATAACACTGGACATGACAGCGCGTGGAGAAGCCAGCTTTTCAGCAGCGCTGTCCATTCAGCCTGGCTGACATGCATTTGGTTTCCTTTTAGTTACTGTATACCAGGCAAGAAAGCCAAATGCAAGACTCCCTCTCTCATAACCACAAACATGGTTTACAAGGAAAATGCTCAAAAGTTTTGTGACCTAGATTTTCAGAACTAAGTCAACAGGTGAACCAATACTGGGTCATACTCTGTCTTTCATAGCAATACGGCATAGTTTATGAGAGTTAAGGGACTCCTGACATTTCCACAGCTCTTCTACCCCACATCTATCTATCTATCTATCTATCTATCTATCTATCTATCTATCTATCTATCATCTATCTATCTATCTCACCCTCTCTCCCTCTCCCTCTCCCTCTCTTTCTAAACCCTATTAGGAAAAGGGTAGTAAATTAATAGTAAAAATGGAAAACTTTAGATGTACAGAAAGGCAAACCAGAGAAAAGGAGGTAACTTTTGCAGAACAACAGTGTATTTTCAAACTCTGTAGTAGAAATGGTACCCTTCAAATTTGGCTTATTAAACAGGAGGAAAAAGAAAAGATTCAAATGAAAATGTATGGTTGAGAATGAATGAAACAACACTTTAGGTCTTAGTCTGGCTGTCCTGTTGTTTCCTCCAGTACTTAAAGGAATCAGAAGGTGCCCTGACTCAAATGAGGTGCAATTCAATCAGGAGACAGATGCAGTTAAACACAAGACTAGTCTTTCAGGGGTCTATTCAGAAGAATGTTTCACGATATGGGTATTTTTATTATTAGACCCTACCAGAAAGCTCTTGGAGGAGCTATATTATAAACTGCTCTGAGGATCTCATTTACTGAAAGGGTAGCAATTTACCTAGAGGCCAAATATAAATTTAATGAAAGGGTAAACTCCGGTTCAAACATCACAACCAAGTTGCTATGGTAATAAAAAGACCCTTTTGTGCAATTATGCAACAAGAAAAAAAACAAGGGCTTTTTTTAAAAAAACAGAAATGACTGTAGTATAAACAGGTAAAAAACATGGTAAGAAATAAAGGATTACCTTAGCTGAAGAAGTATTTTAATAATACTACAGGTCTTTAACAAATCTTACTTTTATTACAAGTGATAATAACATTCTGCCTTTTGGAGCAACTCACAGAAATGACCAAATGAAAGACTAAAAAAACCAAAGGAAAGACTAAAAAAACCAAAGGAAACACTTAAAATATTTTATACTTAAAAAAATAATAAAAAGTAAATATACAGGCTATACTAAAAATCAAGCCTTAAGGTTGATTTTTAAATTTTACTTTGCTTATTTATTGGTACCATAGTATAAAAAAATAATTTACTGAAGTGTAATTCATTTGAACACATAAGGAAGTACTAACACTGGTGTTACACAGGAATGTGAGAACTCTGTATTCCTAAACCTTAGCATTTACAAACAATACAAAAACAGAGTATTTCTTGGCATGGTGAATATTAGTAAGCCAGTTTTGAAGAAAATGTGGTAAATCAGTTCACTGAGGGTAGGTTAAACCAAGAAAATTCCTCATTTCCCATATTAACAGTTTTACATTTTCTGAGCAGTCAAATTATATGTATTATTGTATGATGTTCTTAAAAATATTAAAGATTCTGTAAGACCTGTAACATAAGTGATGGAAGCCCTATCTGGGAAAATAATACGGAATAACCCATTTTATTTTGTAATCACTGAAGTTACTACAGATGGGTTTTCAATTTGAGAGCTGAATTCTGAAAATTGCAAGAGAAAAAGGAAAAGGAACACAGAGAATGGATGCACTAAAATGAACAGAGAATCACCACTGTATTTCCAATTCTATCGGAGAACTCTGAGGCTGTGCTCAGTTCAACTGCAATTGCACACAGATAATATGCCAAATTGTGTGCTTTCATACATGTATTTATTGGCAACCAGGAATGGCCTATTACAAATGCCAAGGGACTCAAGTACACGATCTGTGTTTCATCCTGGATCTCAAATTACGACATGGATTTCTTGCTTATGCTAGCAAGTAACCCTATCAGTCTCTTCCATAACCTCTATTCAAAAATCCCATCTGGACAGATGTACACAAAAACAAGGCACTTCTTGGAACAAAAAAAATGTGAACTGTCGTTACAGGACATTCTCTAAAGCTGTAAGCACATGCCCAGGTGATTAAGAGTTATTGGCTTTTGAGAAAGGGGTTTGGAAGAGAGAAAGATACATGGACAAATTCCACTATTCCCAGTGTTTTATATAGCAATAAAAAGGTTAATTGGACTGAGGAAGAGTCTTTTAAAAAATTAAGTATCATTTAATTTCCAATACTGATTTAACCCAAACTTCATTTACCAAAGCAAACCATGAAATATTTATAATTTCAATTTCTTTCCACTGCTGGCCCTATTCTACCCTGTAAGATCACATTCTCTAGTGATTATAAAAGCTGGTCTGACTGTGTCTTGTAAGTCTCAAACACCCTGATAGGTGTTGTTGAAGAAAATGAAAGTGATCGCAGTGTAAGTATGATGCTATATAACTGCCTTCCAGTGTTTCCTAATCTGCATAGAAACCTCCCATTCTTCATTTGTACTGACTCATGTAAATCTATGGTTTACATGCTATTAACACTGTCTGTAAGCACCTTCAGGTTTCCGAGTCAGAGCTTTAAGTCAATAAAGAGAACTGGCAATCCTGTGGCTATTTTAAGTCAGTAGAGGCTGGCAGGCCAAGATGTGGTATCAGGATATACAGTGGGACTGCTCGTGTTCAACATCAAAAATCTCATCAAAAAGCACCAAATGAGCACAGGAGATGGCAATTACAATTGGGGTCTTTTGGCCATGCAAGGGAGAGAATGACAGCCAGGACACGTTCCTATGCATAAAACCCTCAAAAGCTATCAGGCCAGCATTTTCCAAAATAACTTAATCAAAAGTATTCAACTGATGGAAGCAGCTCTTTAAAAACAAAATAATTGATGCTTTGAGTTATCTTAGTAAGATTTAGCCCAACTTCTTTGATATCACCAGTGCCCTCTTCATTTGCTACTTTTAAAAATCAGCAGGAGGGCCGGCCAAGTGGCTCAGTTGGTTAAGAGCTCGCTCAAGAGTGTGAGCTCTGAGTAACTGCGGTTCAATTCCCAGCCCGAGCTGAGTTGCCACTGAGCTGCCAACAGGTGGCAGGATTGCTCAGCTAAAAAAAAAAAAAATTCAGTAGGGATTTTAATGTGAACAATAGAGTGATTGTAGAATATAAATACATTTGTACACTTTCTCAGGCACTCACTGATGTATGAAGTCAAGCACTAACTGTATGTATCTTAATTTACTTGGTATTGGGATAAACAAAATATAGCATTTTGTTTGTTGTTTGTTTGATCCTATAGCATAGAGTTCTTAACATCTTTATTGCAAGTTTATTTATATTATTAAAACTTCCTCCCTAAAAAGTAAATGTTACTCTGGAAACATTAATTGTTCAATTTGTGAATGTGATTAATGTTTTACACACAGTTATATTCAATCATTTCTGCAGCCTGCTCAGACAAATGTGGAAAGGAGTTAAAATAAAGCAGTCCCAAAGCAATCTAGTAACAGATAATTCCATTGACAAAGGAATTCCTTAGCCAAAGCCACCACAAGATTGGTCTTATATACGGCACCAGAAAATCCTAAATAAAGGGCAACTGGTATTATCACTAGATGGAGACTGCCCCAAGATCTCCTTCTTCTAAATTAGTTAGCAGCACATAAGGATTTTGAAACCATGTACTATTCAACTTTCTGAAGCATTACACTCTGGAGAACATGATATTTTGAATGGCAGACCCAGCGTTTCTTAAGTTAATCTAAACCCCAATTTGCAACTCTTCTTTTTCAAATGGCGTATTTCAGATACTATACGTGATCTTTCAGGAATCCTATTTAAAATTCTCACCCTCAATAGTTTAATTTCCTTTCTGCCTCAAATTTTAAAAAAGAACAAAGAATTAAAGCCTCAAATTATAACAAAAAATTTTAAACCATGGAAACAACCCTTTTCTCCAAGGTTTTTATTGGTCTTGAGTTTCTGATCTGAAAACAATACTATTCCCAAGGTTTTTTGCTATTATTATACTCTAAAATGGAAAAAAATATATCTTCTAAACTTGGCCTACTCTGTTGCTAACTTTTGGGCGTCTTCCTAGAATTGTTTTCTTAAAAATGAAAATATTTAAAACTTACTTTGAGACATCCTCTAAAGTCATTTATTTTAAGAACCTGCGTTATGGACTACATAAAAAACAACTGAGAGTGGCTTCATAATCCATTTTGAAGTTGGAAAGATAACGCAGCTCTACAGTTAGAGGAAGGAGGACCCAATTTTAAACTCATCATCAGTTTCAGTCCTGAAGACTTCCTGGCATTAACACTGAACACTTTCTATTACAGAGACTATCAATTTAAATTCGGTTTGCATTTACTGTGCTCAGAAGTCCACCTCAATGCCATTTGATAATTTAAATTTACAGGTATGTAGTTGTTAAGAGATGTGTCCCTCGCTCCCTAACACTCAGCTCTTAGGTCTGCCCCCTTGCCTTCCTTCTCTCCTCACAGTGTAACTCCTAGTGGAGACAGGCGCCGTGATGTTTACTAAGCAATACAACCTATTCAGTTTCTTCACTAGAAGAAAGGAGTACATTTTTCTCTCTAATATGTAAAACAGTGTCAAGTTTACTTTTAAAAAATGTCTCAAGTTATATTTGAATCCAGTGCCATGTTAAAAACTTTTATCAATGGAACTATAAGGAAGGAGAAAGGCATGTGAGGAAACAAAACAAACAACAGGGAAAAACCCTCTAAATCCAGGAGATGTTACTGCTTTAAACTTGATATGGAACAGGTATTTCTTTGGTCTAACCCTGAAAAAAGTACAAATTACACACATCCCCACACTTTCAAAATGTGCCAAAGAAGTATTTATTAACATAGGACTTACAGATCACAAAAGAGTCGTACAGAAGAGCTTGAAAAGAAGTCACCAGAAGAAGCATGCAGATCAGTATTTGCAGAGGAATATATCAAAGCAAGTTCGAAAAGGCACATTCACACAGAAAATGTCTAAATTCAAAAAAGGACATCAGAAAAGCAGCCCAAAATAAATAAAAAAATAAGGCGCTGATTAAAATACAAAGATTTTCAATGTCAAAGAAGAGCTACTTTACAGGTAGGTAGGTAGGTAGGTAGGTAGCTACAGAAGTCTTGCTAACCCTTTGAGTGTTACAAATGAGGGTAAGCTCTTGCTGCCAACAGAACCAGATAATCTTAATGACTGCACATGAAAGTGCTTCAGTGCCAGGCAGATTAAATTTAGTGGGGGAACAAAAAGCAGCTTCATTGAAATTATATGCAGCAAGGGCCCAAAGGGTTAAATGTAATAATATGCAGAGAAATCAGGCAACGTTATTAGTATTATCTACCTTCCATACAAAGAATTATAGTAAGAGTTAAAAGAGACAGTATCCCCTTCAGAGTTAAGTTAGGGTTTCTAAATAGGATTAAGGTCCAGAGATAGCAGTCTACTGGGTTTTCTTCTCTCTTCATCTGCCCACTTCTAATTTCTCCTTTAACCCTCAGACTAAGAGAGGAAGAGATACTGTGGTCAACATGAGGATAAAGTAAACCCAAATTGCCTGGAAGAAGTAAGTCCCTGCCATTCACCCTCTACAATACATTTACACAGCAGTTTTGCGCAACAACGGTGTACAGCTCATTCATTGATCAGACATCAACCCCTTTTAACAACCGCTCTAAAGGGATACTGCTCCTTTCCGACAGGAGGTTTACAGATCAAAAGGAGGAAACAATCTGCTTTTAAGAATATCCTCAAACTGAAGAGACTTGGCTTGAACATTACAAGGTTCCAAGCTGGGAATGTTCCAAACACACATAAAGGAACATGGGCACAGATGATTATTTTAACAGGTCCATCAGAACAAACTCAGTCAAAAAACCAACCTCCCCTCCCCAAATATAAAGAGGGGGGGAAGACATCTCAAACGCAGATTAGACTCATCTCATAAAGACATTTAGCTTGGCACTGTGAAAGAATATAGATTACTTTCAGAAAAATAGCTTCTAATTAATAATTTCAGAGTCCAAAAGGCTAGTTTACTTGTTATGAGACTTTTAAATAAAAATCAAACATTGCTGTTCAGAAAATGGAGCACTTTGCAACCAACTGCACAAGCAGCTCATACAAAAAAGAGAAACAAAATCACTCTATCAAACAAACAGCAGCCGGAAAAAAAAAAAAAGAAAAAAGAAAAGGAAAACATCTGAGAAAAAGTACAAAAAAGGAAGTAGACCTAGAAGGAGCTCTGCAGACAGCCCCCTGCACTTGGAAAAGGCCGTAGCAAGTAGTAACATCATGTCTTGGATAACTCGCTCCTGGCTCAGCACCCTGTTTAAGGATCCCTCCAACATTTCAATAGCCAAAGGATGCATGCAGTTCTGTTTTCTGACTTACCAATTTGATATATCCAAAGTCATAATACTTATAATTTCTGCCTGAATCTGTAAACTTGGAAGTGTGTTATATGTCCCTCTCTAGTTAAAAAACAACAAACCCTTCGTATGCATAATAAATTTTCTAGAATACAGTAATACTGAGATATTTCTCATTATGAAAGGCCACAAAATAGGTATCTTTCTATATACATATCAAATAACAAAACAAAATAAAAACTAGGACACTTGGGAATCTAGTTTTTACGACAAGAAGTTAAACTAGAGAAAAAACGGCTATGTGTAAATCCATACAGAATTTTACGAGGGCTCCCATATAAGATGCTCTCAAGTATGAGAAAATGAGTAATTACCCTATTCTACCATCTATAGATTTGTTACAATTTAATACTTCCAGTAATAAGAGTTAACACTGAAAACCGCACCTGAATCCACTAACAACTCAATGCCCTCCTTCTTGCCAGACACCCATATACAAGCTCTGTCCCTCCTCTTCTCTTGTAGGGACATGGCAAACTAAACTACAGCTGGCTAGACATTTTTACTTTCTTGACTTAACAAGAGTCAGTGTCTATAAACCAAACAGAATAATGTATCGGCAGCTGCCAAATATACCCAAGAGCAGAAAAAAGGAGAGGGAAACACTGACCTCACTCAAAGAAATAGAGGAACATTACTGACACTGCAAAAGTCTTTATACAATTTCTGGCAATGTGGGTGGGGTTCATTTAGCAGTGGATTTTTATGTGCCTCTAACACCAAGCTGGTGTTAGATTTCAAAAAGTAAAAATATTTTAGCTATCCAGTCTAAGTTCCTTAGTTCGTGGTACCCATATATCCAAGTAGCCACAGAATCCAATTTAACACTGCTTGAAGGGCAACAAAGAGGTTACTTATTAGAAATTCATAAAGGTTAAGAGCCAGGGCCTTACTCTTCCGTAAATCAACACCCAAAGAATCATCTCTGACATCCGTGTCACCGTCACCAGAGCAATCTCACCAATTCCTCACCTGCAGCAGGCGGATGCTGGCCACTAACTGTCGGTAAATCCAAAGAGCTATCAGACATGACATGCTTAAGATCTCCTCCTACATCTGCCAGTTTCATGTCAAACTGAACAGAGAGCGCATCTTCAGAGTCCTCCTTGCCAACGCTGCTGCCACCAATGGAGGGGAGATCCAAGGACTTCACCGAAGCCGAGTCTTCTTTGGTGTGTCTGAAAGCCACTTTCTCTCCCAGCGATTTGTCCAAGTTCATGGAAGAGAACTTATTGGAGTGGAAGTCGGCAAAATCATCATCACTTTTTCCTGCAGGGGTGCTATCTTTCAGGTCTTCAGCACCTAGTCCAGATCCTTCCAGGGAAAGCTGTTTGAAGACATCATATTTGGTAGATGCTGCAGCTGGGTTCTGGCCACCCTTCACTGTGCTGCTCAGGCTGCTGGGGAGAGGAACAGGACTAGCTTCCTCCTTAAGGGCATCGTATTTGTCATCTGCCTTTTGCTCAGATGAAACAGAGCTATTACTGAAAGCCATAAAGTCTGCGAAGTCATCCTGCTCCCCAACAGACGCTGGACTAGAATACTCCCCAAAAAGGTTGAAATCTCCAAAATCATCAGCCACACTAGAAGACTTAGTTGACGCCAGCGCTGTTGTCACTGATGCAGGTCCTGCTAACTGTGGTCGTGCAGAAACAGATTTGGGTGCACGAAACGCTGCTGAAAAAGACACTGGTTTCTCACTGCTGCAATTAACTGAGGAAAACATGTCCAAGTCTGCTAAGTTCAGAGGATTTTTTACTTGTGTTTGTTGTTTCTGTTGTATAGCTCCTGAGGGGAAGGCTGCTGGAAAAGTTTTGTCTTTTGTTGGTGGCTCTAGTGGTGATATACTATCGGCAGTTTTAAAATCGGTGAAACCATCATCAGTTCCTGCAGATCTAAATTCTGCAAAGTTTTCTCCTAAAAGAAAAAGCACAACTAAGTAAATAAGAATGCTGAGCTGAAAACCACATGATGCACAGCACATTAAATGACAAATGTACTTTCATATAGACTTGCCCCTCACTGGCTTGACATAATTTAACCACAGTTTTAACCCTACTAAACACCCCTTTAGAAACCACTTATTTGTTTCTACATTGAAGGCTAGTGACATGGAAAAAAATAAAAATCCAACTGAGAGCACCTCATTTTCATTTACTCCTTTAATGTGATGTGTCTCCTGGTGCCAGATCCTTCAGTTTGCCAAAATCACGCTCTCAGGACTTTTTCTCACTATGGCTAGCCAGCCAAGCATCCAATAGAATAAAAAATAGGTGCTAGAGGTTACTGAAGAGAGGCATATTAAAATAGTGGCCCTTTAAAGAAAATATGTGCTACATGGTGATCAAGCAGGAAGAATATATCACAGGTATCAATGAAGTACATGAGAAGTCCTGCACCTAATATTTAGGACGTACACCACCTCGCTCAACTAGGCATGTTAAGCATATCATTAGATACCAGGTGGTCTTGCTCAAGCATGTGTAGGCATTAATTTGAAGACAACTCTGATGAAAATTTTTGAAAAGGTATCTACTTATTTACAAAGTATTCTGACCAAGGGCACATTTTAAAGCAGCTTCTTTCTATACTCTTGAACAAATAAGCTGAATGTCACAGAAAAACGATCTGTGAGTACTTGGGTTTTTCTTGAAATCATCCATCTCACTCTACCAATGAGTGCTTATTCTTATTTATTAAAATTCATAGGGATTTGAATAAATACAAACTCTATTATTAAAATTAAAAATATCAACTCTATTATTCAAAGGATGTGATTTAAACTTTAGCTTATATTGTACTACTCTTAGTATGAGGTTACTGAAAGTTTTTTAATTAAGTTTTTAGAGGAAATAGGTACTGTCTTTTTCACAAGTAATTGAATAGACTCAGTTAAGACACTGATAAAAATCTGGAGCCATGATTCTTATTAGGTTTTCTATTCTTTACTATCATAGTAATGTTATCATTCAAAGTTATGAGTCTAGGATGCAGATAATGTTTTCTAATGGTGTCTGAAGGTCTTCCATTAAATCCACTAGGTTATACTAGGTAATGAAAACCAGAGATAAACCAAATATAAATATAGCTATACCAATATCATTTATTATTTAAAAATATGAGTGCCATATCTGGAGAGCTTTAAATTAAATTACAAGCTTTAATTTATTCATCTACTTTTGAAATTCAATTTTTCCCTAAAAATGAGATATAGAAGCATATGAACTATAAAAATGTACTTAAAACCAAAATTCACTTCTTAAAATTGTCATTAAAACAATACGTTTTAAATATATTGTGCACATAACATGATATATACATTGATATATCATATGAAATAAGCAAACAAAACAATGGAAGCTGATTTTTCTTTCTAATCTGAGATACTTAACCCATTTACCAGCATAATTCATCAACACAGAGAAATCTATTTAATATTATTAGGGAAATTTTAGAAGAAGAGGAAAGCATTCAGAATTCCTGTATTTTATGTTTGTAAGACATACCATCAATAAAACTAAAGTCAATTTCACAAATTGACAGGAGAAGCAGATATAAAACTTAAAAAAATCACCTTGGTACTTTAGGCAAGTATATCACTGATAATATTTGTATTATTTCTGTAAATGAAAAAATAATAAGCAGCCAATTTTCTCACAGCCTAAATTTTTGGTGTGCTGCTTTGAAATATCTGTGAAATTGACAAGTTTTGCTTTGTTATTTTTTGAAAGAAATCACCACAGCAAACTAAACTTACTGATGAATTGTTAACGTTTCCATTAGAAATGTAAGCTGGGTGAAAGAGTTAAAAAGAAATAAAAATGGGTGGGTTTACAAGTTCAAAAACAAAGAGAATTTTTGGGTAAATTAGTTGCAGTCATTTGAAGCTTGCATATCTGAAGGTATTGAGCATATTACTTCATGGGGAGCTGTTCAGTTAACTTCTGAATCCTCATAAGTTTCCCTAATTGCCACATTTTAGGCCCTAAAAATATTTCAAAAGAGATCTTTTTTTTTTTGCTAAAAGTTCAATAAAGAAGTGTCACTTCCCTACATTTTCTTCATTGACTTTAATTAATGGTTTAAATTGTAGGGGTGGAAAAAAGGAAAATTTTTTTTTTTTTGCTAAAGCCTTTTCTTTCTTTATAAAATTAAATGTATTGGGGTAACAATGGTTAGTAAAATTACATAGATTTCAAGTGTACAATTGTATAATACATCAGCTGTGTATCACAGTGTGTGCTCATCACCCAGAGTCAGTTCTTCCATCACCATATATTTGACCCCCTTCCTCCACCCCCTCCTCAGCTGGTAACACTAAACTATTGTCTGTGTCTATGAGGTTTTGTTTTTTTGTTTGTTTGTCTTGCTCCTTTGTTGTTTTCAGTTTTATATCCCACATATCAGTGAAGTCATATGGTTCTCGACTTTTTCTGACTTATTTCACTTAGCATAATAATCTCAGATCCAACCATGTTGTCGCAAATGGCACTATTTCATCTTTTCTTATAGCAGAGTAGTAATTCCATTGTGTGTATATATATATATATAGAGAGAGAACATCTTTATCCAATCATCTGTCAAAGGGTACTTTGGTTGTTTCCACATCTTGGCACCGTAAATAATGCTGCAATGAACACTGGGATACATATATCTTTATAAATGTTTTCAGATTTTTGGGGGTAGATACCCAGGAGAGGGATTGCTGGGTCATATGGTAGCTCTACGGTTAATTTTTTTGAGGAACCTGCATACTGTTTTCCATAGTGGCTGTACCAATTTACATTCCCACCAGCAGTGTATAAGAGTTCCTTTTTCTCCGCAGCCTCTCTAACACTTGTTATTATCTGTCTTGTTGATGATAGCCATTTCTAACAGGTGTGAGGTGATATCTCATTGTGCTTTTGATTTGCATTTCCCTAATACCTAATGAAGTTGAGCATTTTTTCATTTATCTGTTGGCAGTTTGAATGTCTTCTTGGGAGAAGTGTCTGTTCAGGTTCTCTGCCCATTTAATTGAATTGTTTGTTTTTTTTGTTGTTGAAAAAAGGAAATATTATTAACCTCTGTCAAGAAACCCACAGCTCTGAACATAATACTATAAGATTCTTCATAAATTCTAAGATACTAACATACTTTGATGAAGTCAAGCAAGTGCATTTTTAATGCAAGTAGAATAAAATATATTCTCCTAAAATGAACAAAGTTGGCATCTCTACTTGCAAGGCCTTACAGTTAAAGATAGGAATGAAAGCAAGCAAACAAAAATGACAACAACAATCTGGGATTCTGTTACTAAAGTACTGTAAAAGCAGGACTAAGGTGCTGCTTACATTTTGGTTGCACCACTTTCTTTCCCAGGAATAACATACATATTGTATGATCCTCAATACCATACCACACAAAGAACCTTGATATTACACCATGCTCTTTATTCCAAGCTTGCCTTGGCCCAAGAATTGAGGAAAGCATTGCTAGGAGTAAATGACAAATTAACAAGCCAAAAGTTCCTCTAGGGTTTATCTTTGTAATCCTACTACCTAATACAGGTACAGAGAAAGAAATAGTTATTACGTCCTAAAGGCTTGAATGAAACACAAGGAAACATTTCTAGAATCTAAGAACCGTAAGGGACTGAGTATTTTTAGAAGAGGTGAGTTTCCCTTTTTACAGATATTTAAGCAGTACACTCTCTTTCACACGTACGTTGCCTTTCCTATATTCTCCTCCCACCCCCCACCCCCCGCCCCACTCCCAATGCCATCCCTTGGGCAGAAGGGTGAGAACAAATGATTGTTGAAAGATGTTCCAAATTTGAGCATTCAGTACACAAAGGTCGAATGTGTTACTGTTCCCAGGAAGAAATCCTCATTAGAGTACACAAATTGCACAGCATGCGCAGTTAAGCTTTGAAGGACATAATTTGGCCTATGGATCACCTAAACCCTTACACATCAGGTTTATAGTAGCATTTAACCACAAACATAACTTTCAGTCTTTACATATATGGCTCTCAAATTAATTCTATATTCCTTTTCACTCTATTTAAGCCCTTCTATCGGAGACGGGAACCACATATGCACATAAACCCCTCTCACTTCATCTTACCAAATTACAACCAATTTTGAAAATCTTGAAAAACAAAAGACTGCTTGCTGCCTTTTGTACGCTCCACAGATTGCTGTACTGCCAACAGTTCAAGTCAAGTCGTGTTGAACATTAAAATAACTGGAAATAGTCACAGCCCTCCACTTGATACAGGAGTCTAACTTGGCTTGAAGGCTGCTGGTGAAAGGGAACACACCATCTTCAGAGAAAATTGCATCGATTTGGGGTTTGCCCTACATTTCAGGAAATAATTTCCAGTAACTGAACCACATTTTGCTTCCTTCTAATTGCCACACACACACACACACACACACACACACACACACACACACACACACGAAAAAAGGCAAAAAAACCCACATAATAAAACAAAGGCATGTTCCGGAGCATCACTGAAAAAGCCATCAGAGATCTCTTCTACTAGAAATTGAAATAATTTATCCATTTAAGGAATCAAAACCTTACCTGAAGATTTACTTTCTGCTGTCTGTTCAAGTTCTCTGAAAGCACGATATTTATCACCAGGCTCTATGATGAAAAGACAGAAGCTCAAGTAAGGTTAGGGACCCTGAGGTCACAACTCAAGAAAGTAGGGCAGACTGGGATAGCCAGACACACTCAGCATATGGTATAAGCATTTTACACATTTACCATAAAAGGCCACCACTAAAAACGAAGATTTACATATACAGGTTTATGACTTTATGAACTGCTTACCTCCAAATGGAACCGTGTTTTCAGAGGACTTGTCAGCTGCAATTCCTTTAAACACAGCATATTTATCCACTGAAGCTGATGCTTTAGATCCAGGAAGTGGCATCAACAAAGTCGGGGCACTGAAAGGGAAAAAACAAGTATTTCTTAATGACTAGAACACTGAATCCTTCCCTTATCATCAAATAGAAGTAAAATTAAAATGGCATACAGGTACCTGATTAAAACCCAGGGTTCCTTGCTTTAAAAGTTAGAAACTAGCCGTGTGTGTGCATGTGCATGTGTTTTACCACAAATGACTAAAAATATCCTTTTTCTTAAAAAAATATATTGAAACAACAACCAACCAATAATTCTTTTCTTGATTAAAGAGGTGTTATACCCATGCTGACCATCTAATAATCTCTTTAAGCCATAAAAACAATTGGAATGGCATTGGAAATAGATTATTATAGAATGATGACCTCCTACAATTTTAACTTAAGGTCTACAAAACTGCAAAAGTGAACTGCTTCAAACAGGTATACCCAATATTTTCAAGTAAATTATGTTAACCTTAATAGAAATTATTCTCTAAAATGCGGTCAGAATGCAGTGGTGGAATAGTTAAGATAAAAATTTATTTATGAAATGTTGTTCAAGTCAAGATGTAAATTGTTCGTCTTTTGATCACATTGCATTGCTTACTGGCAGAAGCTCACACATCTGATAAGCAGTGGTGGAGTTAATACAATTTGCATTTTTACAAGGTTCCAGAAGCTATCTTTGTAGCAAAACAATAATCACTTCAAAATTAGATAAAGATACTTCTTCCTGTGGACATATTTCTCCCTGGATGGAAATATAGTGTAATGAGTAGTATCTGTGTGGGTAATTCTTGGGCAGCTTAAACACATACTATAAAAGCATTGCTTATTTTTTCCCTCTTATCAGACCCTGGCAGCTCCCAGGAAGAACAGTCTTTACATATGAATGATTGCATTCCAAAACTGGTTTGTGTCATTCAATACTACACACACACAGACACACACACACACAGAGACACACAGTTATATAAATGGATTTCTATTGAGTTCTTTGCCCTGGAGCAAAAATCTTCCCACAGTCATTTAAATCTTCTTATCAGAGGCCTCCAAGCAAGGTAAGAAACCCAGTTCTTGTAAATGCATGCTAACAGGGGTCCTCAGTGCTATCAGATACTGTAATTTCACATCACTGCCAAACAGCAGCCACATATCTGATCTTGACAAATAGGTCATCACGTATACATTACAGGCAGATTTTTAAAAGTTCTGTAAGTAATTAACAGAATGTTACATAGGAATAAAGGTAATCAATGTCTTAGGAAAATAACACAAAGTTGGAACCACCTATTTGTTTTTCATGACCCACCAACTTTAGCTATGATCTTTTAAGGCCCATTGGTAAAATCTCCTACTAAATGAGACATTTAATTGAATTTTACTAATTTTAAAATTATTTTCAGAATTGGAGGGAAAAAAATAGGGGATCTTCAAAATAATAAGGTACTGCTGACTGAAGTCAACAAAATAAAATTCCATTCAAAAAAGCTATAACTGAGATGGTAATTTTATGCATATTACAAATGAATAATTCATCCCAGTTCTTTCTTTAAAGTTATTAAAAAAAAAACACAACACAAACAGTAATCACCATGAAAGCGTTTATGCCAGTTAAACAGTTATCTGTCTAAACATGAAAACAGTTATTTGTACTCTTTAATACTAATGAAAAATACTCAGTGAGAGAGGCATATTATCTTAAAATTTAAAAACCTACATTGTACTGAAAGATAAGACTGTAAAGAATTTGGCCACCAAAATAAGTTCTTTTGCTTTTGTTCTACTGAATCCATTTATGTTTTACAATCACTCATGTAGCTGTGGTAGATGGTTTTACTTAGTTGCTCACCGTGCTAAATACACCCATTTAAAAAGCAAAATAAGGGCCGGCTGAATGGCGTGATGGGTGGGAGCTGGCTTGGGACGCCAGAGGGCCCCGGTTCAGATCCCACATATGAGGGCCAGTGACACTGCCCTCTACAGCTAAGATGCTGAACAACAGCTTACCCAGGAGCTGGGCTGCTGTGAGTCGCCAGGGACGGCGTAGGCTGCAGCCCCTGTGGCAGTGGGTTGCCATGGGCTACCGTATGTAGCCAGCAGCCAGTGTGAGCGGCCAGCAGCTGCAGTGAGCGGCCGTCCAGAGGCCAGCGACTAATCTGCCTCGCCCCGGAAGAGCACAATGATGGTGCCAACTTGGGCCAGTGAAGCAACGTCCTCCACAACTAGACTGAAGAACAAAACAACAGCAACTTGTCTGTTCCCCTTCCCCCAATTCTCCAGCACTGTTCCCATCCCCCCAACTCCCCAATTAAAAAAAAATCTTTAAAAAAAAAAAGCAAAATAAAACCAACCAACTCAAAACCCCAACACCCTAATTCTTTTTTAACTATTCAATCAGTTGTGCCCCACGCCTGTCTTGTTTATTATTCTAGGCTCCCCAGTGCCTGATACACACTAAGTATTTTCTGAATGGATAAATGAATGATATTACTATCTTCCAGGTCCCCTTCTATGCCAGCTCAAGTGCTATTTCTCCTTTGACTTTGACATTGAGTTCAACACTGAGTCCAACCAATTTCTCAGATACACACTTCAGTATCTATAACTCTAAACCCAGAGTACTTCTCATCATCTCACAACAGGATTACCACAGCAGCTGAATTTATCCCACACACAGTAGCAAGAATCACTTTCATCATGCTACTTATTTCTTAAATGTTTTATATTAATAAATCATAAGGCATCCTGCAATTGGTGCCACTCTTAACTGTCTTTTTTTCACAGACTAACAATACTCTCCACTTCAGCCTACTTCTAACACCTTCCTTGCCTTTCCATCCTCTCTGACAAATGCCCATTTTCCGCTTAAAAGTACTGCCCAAAGTGGTCTCACCTAGGCTTAGCTATTCATATGGCAATTTAACAAATATCCTTTTAAAATAAACTCATAATATGGAATATAGATTATCATAAATTAGTGAATTCATTATGTACGCATACACACACATTTAAGGACCAATCCTAAGAGAGCTTTATCAGATAATATAAATACCCAGATAAAACAAAGCTTCTTGAGATTAGGAACTGTGTTTTTTACTTCTGTATTTCTACTACCTATTCCAATGTCTGGCATATAAAAGATGCTAAATGTTTCTGAATGAATAAGTAAACAACAAAAGTGGATTCTTACACATGAGCAAAATGTTTTCATGCAAGGCAAGAATGGAAGTAGTCAAATCAGAACTGGAAAAGAAAAATGTAAAGGATGGCTATATATGAAAATAAACTATTATTTGAAGATAATGTGACACAAAATTGCTAATACCCCACGTACGAGGTATAATCAAACAATACGGTGAATGTTTAAATAAAAAAAAATTTTACAGTGAAAGACACATTGCCATTAACATCCCTCAAAATACTCTCCCTAACTTCAAACACACTAATCCCATCATTCTTGTCACTTTCTGAAGCAGTTCTGGAAGTCCTCTTTCGGAGTGTCTTTAGTTACGCTGTCGTAGCTGCCTCGATGTCCTGAATCATTTTGACTTTGGGGAAGAGCCAGAAGTCGCACGGTGCCAGATCCCATGAATAAGGTGGATGAGGACACACTGTAATGTTTTTATTTGACAGAAATTGCCGTATCAGAAGTGATGTGTGACATGGAGCATTGTCATGATGGAGGATGACTTATGACACACTTTAAAACACATCTTCTCTCAACCGTAACTCACACCCGAATGACTGCACCGAACAAGTTAAAACTTGTCACACAATGGGCCGGCTGTATGGTGCATTGGTTGAGAGTTGGCTTAAGAGTGCCGGCTCTGAGCAGTAGGGCTGCAGTTTGGATCCCACATGAGGGCCAGTGGCGCTGCACCCTCTGAAGCTGAGATGGTGAGCAACAGCTCGACCTGGAGCTGGGCTGCCGTGGGTGGCCGGTGACGGTGTGGGCTGCGGCTGGGCTGCAGTGGGCTGCCGTGAGTCGCCGTGAGCGGCCGTCCAGTGGCCGGTGACCGATTGCCTCACCCAGGAAGAGCGCAATGATAATGCCAACATGGGCCGGTGGGGCGACGTCTTCCACGGCTGGACTGAAGAATGGAATGAGAGTGGCTTGTCTGTTCCCCTCCCCCAATCCCCCAATAAAATCTTAAAACAAAACAAAACAAAAAAAAACTTGTCACACACTGTTACTAAGGTTTGACGTGCTGCTTCCCATTTTGGAAATTCCTTCTTTTCCGTTCATCGGATGGCACTCAGCAGCAGCATTCACCATATTTGCTAATCACAACGGAAAGGCTCTGTGTCACACATCGCTTCTGGTACGGCAATTTCTGTCAAATAAAAACATTACGGTGTGTCCTCATCCAACTTATTCACTGAATCTGGCAACTTCTGGCTCTTCCCCAAAGTCAAAATGACCATGAAAGGTAAAGGTTTTGAATATATTTAGGACATTGAGGCAGTCATGGCAGCACAACTAAAGACACGAAAGAGGACTTCCAGAACTGCTTCAGAAAGTGGCAAGAATGATGGGATAAGTGTGTTCAAAGTAAAGGAGAGTATTTTGAGGGAGATTAATGACAATGTGTCTTTTATGGTAAATTTTTTTAAAATTTAAGCATTCACATTTTTTTATCACACCTCGTATCTCAAGTTTGGGCACCATCTTGAAACTTTCTATGCCCACATTTTATTTTCATCTACTGAGAGAGGATTTTCCCCAGAGGAATGAACCACCAATTTGATAAATTGTTTATGACTTTCATAGTTAATATAATCACCCAACAAACCTTTATTAATTACATATCGTGAACCATATGTAGACCATGTCTACATACATAGACATTAAAGACTGTCTTCAGGTACTTACAGCCTAATGAGAGAAACAGTTAGGTAAGCCAGTAATTATAAATAGGGCACAGATATTCATAAGGCACCTTGACAGTAGAGAGGGAGGGGCCCTTAATTCATCTTGGAGGTGGGAACTGATCAAAAGAGGTTAGTAAAAACTTCCTATATCAAACCAATTTTTGAAATGGAACTAGAATTAACTACAAAAAGAATTTCAGATCGAAGAAAACAGAATGTAAAAAGCCATAAGCTTCAAAGAGCATGGTGAATCTGAAGTCATTTTGGCATGATTGGAGTACAAGCTGTGTGGGAAGAGCAATAGTTTAGAGAGCAGGCAGAAGCAAGATCACACATACAGCCTTTTTCCATGCCAAGCAGAGCTCACAGAGTTGATGGTGGTAAAGGAGAGAAGAGGGAGCCAAAAATAAATAGTTTCTGATCTGGTGTCTCCTTATGGTGACACGATTCACCAAGGAAGAAAACTATGATTTAACAAATTTTTATTTAGCTTTAAGTAGGAAAACAATGAATTTAATTTTATGCAGGTAATTTGAGATGCCTTGGGTCGTTCAGATATGTTCTAGATAACAGTAGAACATATAACCTTTTTTTCAAAGGAAGGGATCTGAGAAAGAAATATTATGTGTCTGTGAGGATACATGTGCTGGTGTAGCAGACTTAGAAGTCCCAATACTTTAAAAGTCACAGCCCTCATATGCTTCTTCTACGTGTCATTTACCTGTGTTTGATATATTCTTAAAATCAGAATAATTCTTTCCCTAATTTGTAATCCTCTATAACTCCTATCCCTCAATTCTTATTACAATGTACACGCAGGAAGTGTTAACAGACATTCAATTGGTTAAGATGGACAAGATGAATGGACTTGCACAGATAGTAACATAAGAGAAATGGAATATGTATCTTGACAAAAACAAGTCCCAAAAATAATAAAAGAAATTCACATTGCTTACTCAAAGTCTGGTATGTTTCACTCTGTGGAAGAAATATCTAAACATTTTTTTTAAATGATGGAAAAGTGTTGAGAACATACTAAATCAGTTACTGTACCTAAAAGTTAAGCTACTACAAAAAACATTATAGATGTTTATGCAACTGTCTATGCAAACAAACAAAACAGAAATATGAAGGCCCAAAAGCCACTGATCTCAAATATAAGACACATGAATAATCATATTTAGATTTCTGAATTATGATTTCTGTGGAAAATCAATAGTACATTATATTGCAAAATATCAAATTATGTGCCCCTGCCTAAAAAGCTTTTCAACAGCTGAAGACCTGGATCTATTACAAGAAAATAAAGTCATCACTGCACAGGTGCACTCGGCTTAATAAATCAGGTTTAGCGCAGGCAGATACAATATTCCCAAGCAGATGTGTACTGGGAGGAAATGGTAGGAGCTGAAATTTAACACGGACAATGGGGAGAGAAGTTTGAAGAGTAAAACTACGAAGAAAGAGGGATTAATGAAGAAAAGCATGCAAGTAAGGAGCCTTAACTCTCTTACTGATACTTAGGCTTCTCATCATGGGTGCCTCTTTCTCAATCATTAAACACAATGTTAACTATATTCAACTCTTTTCTACCTGTTTCCATGCTGGGAATTATTTGTTTTTGAAGAAGCAGGTAACTCTTGGAAATCACTGAATGAGTCATCGAGGGATCCTGACTTAGAAGCATCCTGAAAATCTTGGAAGTCGTCCTCTTCTGGTTTTACCACCTAGGTTTTGAGGACATTTAAATAGAAAGCATCAAATTGATAAAACAGTAAATAACAAATCTCCAACTGTCAACCTCAAACACTACCTTGTAATTCTCTGCATTTAGGTACAAGTGCCAAATTTTAGAAGAACACCTTTTAGATAAAACATCGACTCAAGTGCTTAAGTCAGGAATTCTGTCTTGTATTTTTGGACACTTCCTGTACAAACGGTAAAAAACTGGTTTAAAGAACTATACAGGGGTCGGCCGAGTGGCTCATTGGTTAAGAGAGCGAGCTCTGAGCAACAGGGTTGCCGGTTGGAATCCCAGATGGGCCAGTGAGCTGCACCCAAGCTGAGCTGCCGCTGAGCTGCCAACAGGTGGCAAGATGGCTCAGCTTTTGAGACCATGCGCTCCTAACAAGGTTGCTGGTTAGACTCCCACATGGGATGGTGGGCTATGCCCACCCACAACTAAGATTGAACAAGGCAGCTTGAAGCTGAGCTGCCCCAAGCTGCCAACGGGAAGCCGGATTGCTCAGTGGTTACAGCACACGCTCTTAGCAACAAGGTTTCCAGTTTAACTCCCGCATGGGATGGTGGGCTATGCCCACCTGCAAATAAGATTGAACACGGCACCTTGAGCTGTGTGGCCGAGAGCTGCTGACGGGTGGCAGGAAGGCGTGACTGGACTTGGAGCTGAGCTAGCTGAGCCCTCCACAACTAAGACTGAAGGACAACAAATTGGCTCTTCCCTTTCCCCAATTCCCCAACACTGTTCTCCTTCCCCAATTCCCCAATAATAAAAAAAGAGCTACACAATTTTTAAATAGCTAAATAACAATACTGAGAACCTGCCATCTTTAAAACACACTTTATACATGTTTGCAAATTACAAAAGTGATATAAACTTGTTAGAATCCATCACATACATATAAAGTCAGCAGTGAACACTGACTCCTAATCCCATGCTCTAGAAGTGAGTACTGTTAAAAGCTCATTTGCTTTATAGAAAACTGAGCTTATACTGTTTTGTACTTTATAAATGTAATTATGACTTGGACATCTTTTTGATGTAGTACACATAGGTCTACCTCATTCATTTTAATGATCAAACAGTATGCCACTGTATAAATGAACCAAAATTTATATAACCTTTCTTTTCCTGATAGACAGTTAGCTATTTCTAATTTTTTTTACTCTAGCAAACAATGCTACAACAAATATACTTGTGTATATCTTTGCTATAATTTGAGTTACTATTTCTGTGGGATAAATTCCTAATAGTGTGACTGCTAGGTCAGAAGATACAGACATTTAGAATTTTGATAACTATTGTCAAGCCTGCCTTCCAAAAGGGCTGTACCAATAAACCCTTTTCCCTACATTTTCACTGATATTAATTGTAAAAATTAGTTTTAAAAAATTTTTGCTGGGCCGGCCAAGTGTCACGTTGGTTAGCAGCTGGCTTGGGATGCCAGCTCTGAGCAGCAGGGCCCTGGTTCGGATCCCACATTAGGGCCAGTGATGCTGCGCCCTCTACAGCTAAGTTGGTGAACAACAGCTCAACCTGGAGCTGGGCTGCCGTGAGGCGACGGCATAGACTGCAGTGGAGCTGCAGTGGGCTGCCATAAGCTACCGTGAGTGGCTGGCATCTGGTGTGAGCTGCCAAGAGCCACTGTGAGTGGCCATCCAGGGGCCGGCGACCGATCTGCCTCACCCGGGGAAGAGCGCAATGATATACCAACATGGGTCAGTGAAGCGACGTCCTCCACAACTAGACTGAAGATCAAAAGGGCAGCAACTTGTCTGTTCCCCTTCCCTGATTCCCCAATGCTGTTCCCCTCCCCCAATTCCCCAATAAAAATCTTATAAAAAAAAAATTTGTTTTGGTAATCCGAGAAGTGAAAAATAAACGGACACATTTTAATTTCATGTTCAACAGCTTCCTCAAAAGACACAGCCTAAGAATTTAATTAACTTTATTAGGCTTGATTTTAAAATGTAAGGACTATAAATGTTTATAAATGTTCTAAAATTCAAGTATCTTAAAGCTTGACAAATTGCTTCATGTTTTTTAAATAATGAAAAATTAAATTTTGTATTGCTTTAATACTGTTTAATTTTCACCTCAAGTGTCCATCATAATCCAGTAATCTTCTCTGCATCCTTGGAAAAAAAGTTGCCCAGATTCACTTTCAGGGATTACTTGGAATATGCAGTTTTTCCATTTACCTGATTTGCAGGGTAAGTTGGCATGAAGCCACTGGAAGCCTGGGCTGCAGCTCCCCCCACTGGTCCAACAAGGTTAATGCCCATGACTGGCTGTCCGAGGTTGAGCGGCATGGAGCCTGCAGAGCCTGAAGGGAGCCCAGTTGGCTGACTCACTGGGGTGGGCAAAGTCATAGGAAAGCCACTTAACGTTGGAACAGGAGCTGCTGGGAACTGGCTTAAAGCATCAGGACTCATGGCAGGAATACCCCTCTACACAAAACAGGAGGAAAACGGAAACATTTTAGAGGATTGCCAACCACATATAATCTAAATCTGGCAAAGAGACATCTAAATGTAAAACCTGTAGTCTTGGTATGTTACCACTCTAACTTTTCCCAAATTCATGAATTTGATACAAGAAAATAAGTTACAAGGTTAATGTAAACCTAGAATTTAGCAAAGAAATGGCCAACACATCAATCCTGACACTTTCACCCTCTGACAAGTTTGGCAAATTTACTATAATCAAATCATGGTTATATATATTACAAATGATTTTGTATTATAAGAAAAATTACTACCAGTTAGAGAATACTGCATCTATATCTATTCCTACAAGAGGAATTTTAAATAAGGACTTCAAAGGACGAAGAGTAATTTCACTATTACAAACTTTCAAGTTCAGAAGGGATACAGTTGGCCAGAGGATGTTAATACGTTAAGGTTTTTAAACAAAGGAATATTTTGCTAGTATGTGCTTCATATAAACCATTCATTTTTGAAGTATTGTATCTTGAAAATAACCTAAGTTTGAATGTTCAAGGAATTCCACAAGGTTGTAGTAAAAAAGAATTCATATTCTTTCAAGTTATATCAAAAAGTTATCTGAGGGCTGGCTGAAGCGTTGGTTAAGAGTTGGCTTGGGACGCCAGCTCTCAGCAGCAGGGCCCCAGTTCGGATCCCACCTGAGGGACAGTGACGCTGCGCCCTCTACAGCTAAGATGATGAACAACAGCTCAACCTGCAGCTGGGCTTCTGTGATTCTCCGGCAATGATGTAGGCTGCAGCCCCTGCTGCAGTGGGCTGCTGTGAGCTACCGTGAGTGGCTGGCAGCCAGCGTGAGCAGCTGGCAGCCAGCGTGAGCTGCCGTGAGCCGCCGTCCAATGGACGGCGAGTAGACTGCCTCACCCAGGAAGAGCACAATGATAATACCAACATGGGCCAGTGAAACGATATCCTCCACAACCAGACTGAAGAACAAAAGGACAGCAACTTGTCTGTTCCCCCTCCCTGATTCCCCAACGCTGTTCTCCTCCCCCAATTCCCCAATAAAATCTTTAAAACAAAAAATTTATTTGATCTAATTTAAGAAACAATGTTGGGCTGTTGGATGGCTCAGTTGCTTAGAGCGCATGCTCTTAATAACAAGGTTGCCAGTTTGACTCCTTCATGGGATGGTGGGCTGCTTCATCCTGCAACTATTGGGTTGTTGGAAAAGTCATGACGCATTTTTGCAATGAAAAACATAGAAAAAAATACGTCATGACTTTTCCGACGACCCAATAAATTGAAAGCAGCGACTGGACTTGGAGCTGAGCTTGCGCCCACCACAGCTAAGATTGAAGGACAACAACTTGACTTGGAGCTAATGGGTTCTGGAAAAACACAATGTTCCCCTTCCCCAATTCCCCAACACTGTTCCCTTCCCCAATTAAAAAAAAAAAAGAAATAAAAAGGATACAATGTCTACCTGTGTTACGGCTATCATGGCGAGAACGGTATAAAGTTCTTCTTTAGTAAGTTTGCCAGGTGTAGTTCGATTAGCTAAGGCCCATATCTGTCCAAGAGTTTCCCTGGGAAGTCCAGATGACATCAGAATGGGATAAAGTTTAGCAGTATCTATTCCAGTTGGAGTCATTGTGGTTTCTAAGATTTTCTTGTAGGCATCTATGAAAGGCAAGACCAGATTACAAATGTAAACATATTACAACTGATTGATCTTTTTTGTTGTCACTGTGCTTGTACAAAAATAATCTTAAATTGCCTTAATAAAACTAAAGCCATATCAGGATTTGAACTGCTGTAAACATACTCAAGTGGAACTATCCAGCAGACAATTAGGGTGTGGAACTTAGAAGAGAGGTTGGAGCTTGGCCCTAAAGATGAAGATTTGGTACTAAAGGTAAAAGAAAGTCATCTTTTTTTTTTTTTTTAGAAGGTAGCAATCATCGTTGCCTTTTTTGAGAAAGTCTTCTAATTCAGTAGATGATAGTAACAAAAATGAGATGGAGATGGTATAAGCAGATGCTTTGGACTTTGAAAGAGAAGTTGTAGAGTAATGATGGTGGGAATAGTTTGAAAACAGCAGTTGGAAGCAAGAATTACACCAATACCACCTTTTTCCTATCCCAATAAATTAGAAGCTTTAAGAGAAAACATCATTGAGAAAGACACAGTTTCAGTTAAGGTGAGGAAGCAGAAAAAAAGGGACTGCTGGAGAGTTTTTCACAATAAAATGGGGTTTCCAAAGGAAAAAGTGAGAAAGGCTGTGACAGCTAGGGTTGCCATATAAAATACAGGATGCCTATATTGCATGGGGCATACTTATACTAAACATTTTTTTGCTCTTTATCTGAAATTCAAATTTAACTGGGTGTTCTTATGCTTATTTGCTAAATCTGGCAACCTTAGTTTGAGAAGTTTAGGGGGCTGAAAGTGGTTAGGGCTAAGGTAGACAGAGAAAAATGTTTAAAACAAAAATTTTACATCTATGATTTAAATATGGATTGCAGGTTAATAGCCTGTCCATGATAACACATATTTTGACTAGGAAATTATGTGTGCATGTATTTTGGAAGGAGAAGAAAGAAAGAAATGCAAGCTGGCAGAACATGGATATAACTCCAAAATATACCAAGATCCACATTCTGTTTCTTTGCCTTGAAGACAGAGAGGAAGAAGAAAGGGTGCAAACTGTCTAATGGGCAGTTGGAAGAAAACTTATTGTGTTTATGTACAACTGAAGTCCCATACTGGTTTGGGAAGTTAGCCTTTCAATTTGTGATTATGTGATTATGATGTGAAAGAGACATTACTGGTTTCTTCCAAAAAGAAGTTCAGCTACAGGAATCTTGCATGAGTTTTATTTAATCAAGTGTAGAACAACTTTAATCTATAACCAATCCAGAAGATCTGATGCAAGTTACCTTTAGTTTATAAGGGGCTGGCAAAGTAGAGCAAACTGAATAAGTTACAATTTATTAAGACTGATTAACATATGCTGCTGTAATAGTCATTATTTTGTGCACATCAACCATGGCTTAAATACTTTTTCCTTGTGTCAACTAAGCACTACCAAAATGTGCACCTTAGTGATATTTTTTGGCTCAGAAGTAATTCTTAAAGGAAAAAGTAAACATCATCTTCCAGTGTAGAAAAAGATGCCATTTGGTCTTTTACTTCATATACTATCACATGACAAAAAAGTCATGAGAATATTTTTAAAAATATAAGCCAATCACCAAGAGTTCAGAAAATTGCATTAAACTGTTCGTACTATGCTTGATAAGTTATTAATCACCTACAAAATCAATATTTGATAATGTCTTTTAAAGCATGATAAATCTAAGAAAAGCTTTTAGAAATGAAAGTAATATGATGGTCAATAAAACATTAAAGCAAAACATTTCTCCAACATTTATATAGTTAGTTCATGTAGGAGGCAGCCTTAAGAAACACTCGATCTATTTAATTTTCTGTACTCTTTCAAAAAACAATAAACAAGAAAAAAGTCACCATTCCTTCTGCATATTTTGTAATCACAACAGTAACTAGTCAAAACTACATTTACAACATTTAAAGCAAAATATCCAGATGGGAATCCTGGACAAAGAAGCTCTTTTACCTGGAACCAAACTCTCATTGTAAATCCAAGGAGGCATTCTGGGTTGAACAGGATCCTGTGAAGGAAATACTCCCACACCTAGAAGATAAGGAACATTATCTAATGTATATCATGGTCCTTGTAGAAGATCAGGAAATCACACTGAGTCGTGGGTTTTTATAAAAAGAGCACTGGCTAAAGACACTAAAAAAAAAGTCACCAATACAACTAAAATATCTGGTTTCTAAACAATTCATACATTAACTATGTTCTAAAGAGTAAACTTAAAAAAAACCCTGCGATGTACCAAATCAATGTTCTGAATTGTACCAGGCTTGCACCATTTTCACATGTACTACAAATTAAAGAAAAAACATGATGGTGGTTTACAAATTATATATGTAAAAAAATGTAGTTGCCTAAGCTTTACTTGCAGCTTTTAATCATGTTTCTTTAGAAAGCCTGGTATTTTTTACTTGAATATGACACTGCTGCCTTAGATGTATGGGACTTTTGTCTTTGTCCAGTAAAACATCCTCCTAAAGTTTACCTCATAGGCTGCCACATTCTAATTCATCTCTGCAAACTGAGTTTAGAAAAATTTGACCTTTTAGGCAGCAATGTGTATGATTTATTTCAGAGAAGCAAAACTATATGCTCATTGGTGACTTTTCCAGTTACATTTTAACTTCTCAACCTTTATGGAAGAACACAAAATGCAAGAGGGAAAAAAAGAAGTTTTATAAAAATAAATTTCAAGAATTATTCTGATTAAAAAAAGCTATCAAAAAATTTATTAAAAAGAGTAACAGTGTATTGAAGGAATTCAGAGCAAAATTGTAGGGGTTAATTGGAGAAAGAAATGCATGAAATATATTTTAAGCAAAATTTCAATTAGCAAAATCAAGCAGCATTCATTTTAAGATTAATGCTTAAGGTGTTAGCATTTGAGCAACATTCGGTTAAATGAACTTTTGGCTGAATATTTCATGAGCTCACCACTCTCTTCAATGGGCAGGATTTGGTCTGAAGTCTTTTCTGCCTCTGCAGTAGTGGTACCACTTACACGTCCATCTACAGCACCCCTGTTATTGGCTGTTAACCTGGGATGGTTCTTACTGGAACCTGGGCCTTGGGCTTTGCGCCCAACTTCAGAAGCATTTAATTTAATTTGTTTCTGCCCAGATGTACTTATATCACAAGATACTAGGAGCTTCTCCTCCAAGGAAGGGCCTAAACAAACGGTATGAAGGGATTATTTGTATATAATGGCAAATTTCTATTTTTTTCAAGCATCCATTTCCACCCCCAGATTCTTCTTGTTGCCTCTCACTTTGAAAGGCTTTTCTTTTTTCTTTTCTTTCTTTTTTTTTTAAGCTGAGCCATCCTGCCACCTGTTGGCAGCTCAGCAGCAGCTCAGCTCGGGCCAGGCTGGGCCAGGCCGGGCATTGAACCGCTGTTGCTCAGAGCTCACTCTTTTGAGCGAGCTCTTAACCAACTGAGCAACTTGGCCAGCCCTTCCACCCCCAGATTCCAAAGGGAAGACCCTGACACATATAATGTGAATTCTGAAATAATTCAATCACTACACCTTTGTATAGGACTTGAGAGACTTAAGAGATTTTAGAGAACTTAAACATCATTATCTACTTTGATTTTCAAGAATTCCATGAGACAGTAGGAAGAATGGTATAGTGGAGGAGTATCACCTTAGAAATCTGGCGACTCACACAAGATACAGACATTTCCACTAACTACTGGGAAGACCCTTGGCCAGTAACACTTTCTCTGGGCCTGTTTCTACATCTGTCAACTGAGAAAGCTTGGATTAAGTAGAAGTCAGCTAAGACCCCTCTCAGCAGTATTCTAAGTCTCAAGACATAGTGTGTAACTATTCCCCACCCCCATTATTTCACAAGTGATAAAACAGAAGTACACAAATGTTTAAAGATTTGTCCGAGGGCAAACTGAGAGTAAATGAAGAACCTGAATTAGAGAGCACTTTCTAAAGCAGCTTTCCCTGGCTCATTACTCTTAAGAAACTGATATTGGTGATTTTCCCAAACAAGAGTAATCTCCTGAAAAAAGCAGTTTGTTTTTAAGTTCTAAGGTGGTTTAAACAGCTCCTAATCGAGAAGCAAAAGTTTTAAATCACTTTTCTGAAAAGTGAGGCCCCCGCCCAGAATTTAAAAATCTAGATTCTCATCTTGAATTTTAATAGTAATCATATATTACAGTACGCTTCTTTGCCAAAATCCTTGTATTATTCTACTTATATAAGAGAAATAAATGATCCTAGATTATCTTACTTCCATTAACATTCTAGGAGTCACCTGTTCTATGTACACTGTATGAGGCTGAAGCAGTAGAGAAATAAGGAATTTGCCCGGGGACACCATGTAAGGCAAAAGACACTGGAATCTGACCTGGAGGGAGAGGCTGTGCTCCAGCCTTCTGTGTATGCAACTGGCCAAGTGGGGTGGTGGGATGGAAAGACTGAAAAGGCTGGGAAGTGGAAGAAGGCCCACATGGGGGAACTTCAACAGGCCCCTGCATAAAGTCACTGAATTCTTCTTCATCAAGAAAGGCAGGTGATGGGGAGACAGTTTTAGTAGAATGAGATGTTGTGGGATAATCTGCAAAATGGAAAATGGTAATGAAACACACAGAAATGAAAATCAACAGGGAGAAAAGAAATTCTGATGCAGTAAAATTCTAAAAAGAATGTACTGAAACATGAATAGTGAAGGTGAACAAGAAATACCATGTAACAATAGTCAAATGGAATTATACAGTGAATGCAAAACACTTTGATGTCTAGTTACACATGATTTTTTTTTTGTCTTTTAAAAAAGAGGTTTTATAGCTATTTTGCATTTGGTTCAAAAACAGAAAACTACAAAACTCAAAATTTGTTTCCATCTTTTATTAATTTAATACTATTTTTTTCCCTGAGACCATTAATAATATACATCAAAGTGGTGATTACCTTTGCGACTCAAGTGATCTGTATATCTGGATAATATTCCCTCAAATCAATCTACATCAGAAATAAGAAAACCTACCAAATGCTCCTGAAGACGTTTTGGACAGATATATGCTCTGATGATTAAACTTCATTATGCCAACATATACTTGTTACTTTTGATATATCATGCCTAATCCATACGCTTTGCATAGTTCACATTTCAGTAATCACATGAGCAATGACAATTACAAAAGAGGCAGCAAAGATTAAACACATTACCAAGGTGATGTTTTCTTGTGAAAAGCATCAAAACTGGGACACTATGAAGTGCTAAGTCAAACAACTCAACAATCAATTTAAGAAAGTAAACCTTGACTGAAGACTATGTTTAAAAAGGCATATATAAACATCACTGTGGCTTTTTACTGTTAAATGTGAGATTCATTCACTTATGTAATAAACCTTCTCTACCGGGACTACATTTAATATGAGGCTCATTAAAAATACCAATATCATCACATTTTTAATTACTTTGAATTGCTTTAATATTAACTGAAGTCTAACATCACAAGGGGCAGTCTTTTTCAAAAGACTCTAATCTGAAAAATGGGAACACTACATGCTTCTTTTTTACATTTCTCTTTCAGATCTGTGAAATAAAGCCTGGAAGCACTGAAAGTTCTATGAAAGATGCAAAATGAGTAAGCAAAATTATTGCCTTAATTTTGTTTAAAAAAGAAAAAAATCCATGCCACAATAAATTCCAACCCTCCCAATAATGATTACTGAGTGTGGGTTTCAATTCTCCACTTGGGTTCTCAGACCAGTACTGGTAGAAAACAGCAGCAATGGAAAACTTTTAAATGGACCATATTTATTAGCAATAAGGCTGCAAAGACTAAATGAATGTCTCTTTGTATCTGACTGGAATTATATTAATTGTATGCAGTATGTATTTTGGCTTATAAACTCTTGCAGCTTTCTATATGATTAATAGGTATAAAAATTATATGATCAATAATTTGTATACTCAATATTTTAAGATAAATAGTCTAGGCTGGAAAATTAAAAGGTGCTTTTGGTGGTAAAAAGGCTGGAAGCGCCAAGCACTTTATGCCTAGGTTTAAGACTCTCAACTAGAGAAGCTCTGAAATTTCTTTGGGCTTGCTTCAGAAAAATCTTTTTCTGGCTAAGCATGAAGCAGTTAACTAGAAAGAGCTAACTGCACACATGTTGCTTGAACTCACACGATTATTTGAACATCAAAACACCAATTTATGGGCTGGCCGAGTGGCGCGATGGTTAAGAACTCGCTTGGGATGCCAGAGGGCCCCGGTTCGGATCCCACATATGAGGGCCAGTGACACTGCCCTCCACAGCTAAGATGCTGAATGACAGCTCAACCTGGAGCTGGGCTGCCATGAGTCGCCGGCGACGGCGTAGGCTGCACTCCCTGTGGCAGTGGGTTGCCATGGTACCGTATGTAGCCAGCAGCCAGCGTGAGCGGCCAGCAGCCGCAGTGAGCGGCCGTCCAGAAGCCGGCGACTGATCTGCCTCGCCAGAGAAGAGCGCAATGATGGTGCCAACTTGGGCCAGTGAAGCAACATCCTCCACAACTAGATTGAAGAACAAAACAACAGCAACTTGTCTGTTCCCCTTCCCCCAATTCCCCAGCGCTGTTCCCATCCCCCCAATTCCCCAATAAAAATCTTTAAAAACAAAAACAAAAAAACACCAATTTATTATTTAACATTGAGGCTGTTAAACTACACCTGGTTGTCAATAAGGGGCATTCAAATCTGGGTAGAACGGTGTTTTACCTAACAATGACCATTCCTCTCTGCCAATTTCCGAAGTTCCATGCTGGGTCCAGTTTGATTAATAGTATACTGATGTCTATTCTTAAATTACTTCTTGACTAGCTTATTCAGCTTTTAATTTTCGTTTTTAGATATGATTTTTCCTTTCTGAACTCAATCTGATGGCTAATATCCATTCTCTTTTCAATCTCGGTGTATACTTTACTTTGGGGCATATTTTTGGAATGATAATCTGAGTATATAATCTAACAAGTGAAATTAATAAAACAGTCAAAGCTGTCCCAGAAAGTCAAGAACTGGTTACTGTGCCAATATTAGATTATTCCCTCCTGACATCACCTAAAAAAGGTACTATAATATAAGGATTTAAGATAAAATTTATCAGTGTACTATATACCAGCAGAAACTAATACTTGATCGGCCGAATGACTTCTGAAAACTGTTCACCTATTAATGGAATGTTATTCTTGAAATCAGTTGAGGATAAAAATGTCAAATATCAAATTTTTAAAAAGGATGTGGTAAGTTATGTAAAGACAAGACTGATTTCAACTGCTAAATGTTCAAAACACACACAATCCCCACCCCCTCAAAACATTACTTTACCCTGCTCTAAATAGGCACTTTTTTGTGCTTATGTGATAATAAATGATAATAAAAACAAAGAAATGTATTAAAGAAACTAAAATTTCATGAGGAGCATTATTAAACCTATGGCTTTTCCCCCCATCACTTCTTTAAAGGTGGCATTTAAAAAATTTGTAAGTTTAATCACATTGAATAAAATCTGAAATGGCTCATAAAAAGTAAAATTATTTTAAAACAACGAGAATGAAAGGGCAAACTCCTTTATTACACTTGCTTTGACTGAATGGATTTTAGTAATGCTAACATACTCATTTATACAGAAGATTTACAAGTGAAGTTGTCATACTGACATTTACTAGAAGACAGGTTTTTCTTCCCAACATGGGTATCCAGATCAGAGCTCTTAACCCACTGTAAAACGTAAAACAGCCAAATCTGTACTTAGCTTGAAGGAAGAGCTCAGCATTGACTCTTCACACACACGTAATGGCCAGTAAAACACACAGGGACTAGAAATCACCTTCCAACAACAGAAAAATTTACAATTAAAACTACCTGGTTTCTTAGGGTGCGATGCCGGAGTAGGGTGCATCTTAGCATCTCTGGAAAACCCATCTAAGTTTCCTTTTATGGCTTCCAAAGCATCATCTCTACTCTTCTCTCCTGTCTAAGAAACAATAAATGTATGGATATTTCTTCACTTCTCTCTCACTTCGTCTTAAATCTTCCCAAATTAAAAGGAAAAAGTGCAGCTCTTAGTTTGTTTCCAATATTTTTACCACATGCTTCTGATAGTGAATTTTCCAAGTCAGAAACACATTGATAAGTGTATAAAACAAAGGCATAAAATGACACTGTAGAATATAAAAACATTAAAAGGCCCATTTATAAATATTTTAGGATACAGCTGTTAGATATTCTGTATTAATGTTTCCCAAGAAAAGATTACAAACATTCCAATGGTAGTAAAAAAAGAATTGAGAAGACTGGCTGATACCATTCCCCTCAACAATAGAGTGTCTTTATAGAGAAGAAAAATTCTTCACTTTTGAACTTAGATAAACTAAAATGGAATCAACCACAGCCTTGGCTTGGGCTGGCGCCTAAGTGACAAAATCCACTGAATAAGTGAGAAGAGACACATGCAGGAAGGGGTGGGGGGTGGGGGGTGGGGTGTGTGTGTGTGTGTGTGTCTCTCTCTCTCTCTCTCTTTCTCTCGTAGTGGAGGGGTGGCAGAATATATTACCTTAGGTTTCACACTACTCAGGAGTCTGAGCTTTTGCTTCTGCTCTTCAAACTGGCGTCTTTTTCTTTCTTCTTCTAAGAGCTTTTGCTGCTGTTCAAATCGTTTTCTGAAAAAAAAAAAACCAAAAACAATCTGGTAAAGAACGAGCTTCAGGGATTATCAAATGCGTTATATTCGTATTTTTACTAACAATTTCAGCAATATAGCTTACGTTTCTAGAACTAAAACCTTCTCTGCTGATTATATCTAATTTTCTCATGACAATCCTATTTCCCTATTATATTAATTTCAAAATATATGAAATGAGTTTAAAAAATGATTTACCTAAATGACAGACAGGAATTTATTTCTTGTCTAATTTGCAAGGGGAGGAGACAATCTTGCACTCAAACATAATTTCAAAAACCAGACAGGGAGGTAGACAAAATAAAAACACTCTTTGCTCTGCATATAAAAAAGAAGTTTCCACTTGGGGAGGCAGCGTCATAGGGGAGAAAGAGCAATGCTCTGGGAATCAGGAGACCTGCATTTGGGTCCCGGCTTTGCTAGTAACCACGTAACCTGGACTGACAATTGCTTTGTTTCTCTGGACCCCATTTTCCCTAGATGTAAAATTAGAGGGTTGAATTCAAGACTCTCTAAGGTCCCTTCTGGCTTTAAACTTAAAATCAAAGTATTTTAGAGAGTTTTAAAGGCAATGCGAGTGTTTTGGCTTTAAATCTGCATTAGAGAATATTTGACAGTTTTAAAAATAACTGCTATCGTGTATCTTTATCCTTGAATCCTGAGGTTCCTTACTGCTGCTCTTCGGCAAACTGCTTCTGCATGTCTGGAGTGTACTGTGGGCCTGGGGGACGCATCCCCAGGAACGGTGCTTGTCCCAGGTAAGGCATTCCCGCTGCTGGCATCGGTCCCATTGGTATCCCTGCCTAGAAGAAAAGGAGAAAGGCTTAAAAAACACAATTTCTCCTTTTAAGTGTTACAAAGAAAAACTGGAACTTTCATATTTTTAATATATTTATTAATGAACTGTATAAGTGCATTTTAATACAAATTTCAAAGAAATAGACTAAAAATGGAAAGCTCCCTTTTTATGAGTGAAAATTCTTCTGCTTTGCAACCTTCTCCCTGAAAGGCTCCCCTTCTGTTTCCTAGCTGAAGCCTGGCTCTCCCAGACGCCCTCTCACTTGGAGACTGCGGCTTCTCTTCCAAAGTTTCCTGTAGATGGCGGATAGTCCTCCTAGCCCCTTCTAGACCTTTTCTTCTCTCTACCTTCAAAAACCTGAACGAATACACTTTAATTTCTGGCCATCAGACTCCATCATTTACTTTCCTACCTTGTTTATGTCATCTACTGACCCTCAACTCCCTCACTTTTCAACTGAAGCCTTCAGAACCTTCCTATCTTCCATTCTACTTCTAAATTGCCATTGGTGACACCAGTAATCACATGGATAACACATCTAACACCACGGCCTTTCAGGTCTTTGTCCAACATACCATTCCAGCTTTCCATTCTACTGTCATACCCTTGATATTCAGCTCCAATAACTGCATCATCTCCAAAATCTTGATTTTAAGCTTTCCTGACACTTGACCACCACCTCCTATCCTTCCAGCTCATGTACTCCAGCAATTCTCTTATCTCAGTAATACCTTCCCTCCATTTATCTTACCACCTTTCCCACTATCTATCATCTTCATCATGTTCTCACTTCTCTGTTGTTCAGCTTAGATTCCAGGGTTCAATGTCGAACATACTGGTAACCACTCTTAACTCCCTTACCTCTAGCTTTCTTTGTATGGTCTCCTTGGAAACCTCACCGCTGGTTAGAGTCAACTAGTCACTTCTTACTCTTACAACCAAACCGCTGAAACTTGCTGATGAGAAAAATCTTGGGGAATTGGGGAAGGGGATCAGCTGAGTTGTTGTTCTTCAATCGTAGTTGTGGAGGGTGCCAGTCGCCATCTGACTGCCCATCGGCAGCTCGTGGCCTCTAAGCTCAAGGTGCTGTGTTCAATCTTAGTTGTGGGTGGGTGTAGCCACCATCCCATGCGGGAGTTGAACCAGCAGCCTTGTTGTTTAGAGCGTACACTCTATCCACTGAGCCATCCGGGTGGCAGCTCAGCTCAAGGTGCCGAGTTCAGTCTTAGTTGCAGTGGGGGGAGCATAGCTACCATCCCATGTGGGAGTCGAACTAGCAGCCTTGTTGTTGTGAGTGCATGCTCTATCCACCGAGCCATTCGGGTGGCAGCTCAGCTCAAGGTGCCGAGTTCAGTCTTAGTCACTTTTAAATTTTTTACTACAAATCTCAAATGGATCCCCAACACAGCAAGTCTTATGAGGACTCCTACTATGGAAGATTTCAACCCTCTGAAGTTTCTTGAGATTTACTATGGTCTAGTATATGGTCAATTTTAATAAATAGTCCATGTTTATTAAAAAAAAAAGTATGTTTTGCAATTGTTGGTGACAGTGTCCCTTTTATCCACTAGTCAACCTTAAGAAGGTTGTTTAAACCTATATCTGTTCTCATTGTGAATTTTTCTATTTGTCCTTGTTGTTCTGTCAGCTTCTATCTTATAGGTTTTAAGGCCAGGTTATTAAGTGTATACAAATTTGGAGCTATTATATCTTTCCGGTGAATTTAATCTCTTGTCATGATGAAAGACCCTCTTTACCTCCAGGCTTCTAAGGCTTTTTCCCTTAAAGCATATTTTGTCTGGTTTTCCTTTATCTACATCGGCTTTTTGGGTGGTTTTTAGTATTTATATCTTCCTTTACTTTACTTTAAACTTTCCTGTATCCTTATGTTTTAAATGTCCCTTGTAAGCATCAAATATCTAAAACAGGGTCGGCAAACTTTTGAGACAGAAGAGCCAATCCTGTCCCTCACAACAACTTAAAAATTATTCGAGAGCCATAAAACAAATGAAATCACCATTATGTATAAAATATCCTTTAAAAATTTTATAAATGAAACTATGATAGTTTTATTTTCATTTTCAATTTTACTTCAGAGCCACATGTACATACCCAAAGAGCCGCATGTGGTTTGCGAGCTGCAGTCTGCTGACCCCTGATCTAGAATTTTGTGTTTTATTTTTTAATTTAATTTTATTTTTTAAAAGATTTTATTGGGGAATTGGGGGAAGGGAACAGCGCTGGGGAATCGGCGGAAGGGGAACAAACAAGTTGCAGTCCTTTTGTTCTTCAGTCTAGTTGTGGAGGACATTGCTTCACTGGCACATGTTGGTATCATTGCGCTCTTCCCAGATGAGGCAGATCGGTCACCGGCCTCTGGACAGCCACTCACGGCGGTTCTTGGCAGCTCACACTGGCTGCCAGCCGCTCACGCTGGCTGCCAGCCACACATGGTAGCTTATGGCAGCCCACTGCAGCAGGGGCTGCAGCCTACGCCATCGCCGGCGACTCATGGCAGCCCAGCTTGAGGTTGAGCTGTTGTTCACCATCTTGGCTTAGAGGGCAGCATCACTGGCCCTCATGTGGGATCCGAACCAGGCCCTGCTGCTCAGAGCTGGCATCCCAAGCCAGCTCTTAACCAATGTGCCACTCGGCCTGCCCTAGAATTTTGTGTTTTAAATGGATCCTTTATGCCATTAACATTTAATATATAATTATTAATATATTTTGGGTTTAATACTATCTTATTTTGTGATTTGTCCTACTTTTTCTGTTTCTTTTTCTTTCCTTCTTGCCTTTTTTGGGGTTTATTTCTTGTTTCTCATTCTACCTTTTTCACCTCTACTTGTTTTATATAACCTATTAAGGTTACCCTTGAAATTACAGCATGCATCTTATCAAAGTCCAATGTTAATCAACACCTTTATCTTTCTTTCACAGAATGCAAGGATCTTAATAATTAATTCTAGGGCCAGCCGAGTGGCGCGATGGTTGGGAGCTGGCTTGGGATCCCAGAGGGCCCTGGTTCGGATCCCGCGTGTGGGGGCCAGTGACGCTGCCCTCTGCAGCTGGGATGCTGAGCAGCAGCTCAACCTGGAGCTGGGCTGCCACCGGCGATGGCGTGGGCTGCAGCCCCTGTGGCAGTGGGTTGCCATGGGTTGCCTGTGGGCTGCCAGCAGCCAGCGTGAGCGGCCGGCGGCTGCAGTGAGCGGCAGTCCAGAGGCCGGCGACTGATCTGCCTCGCCCGGGGGGAGTGCAGTGATGGTGCCAACTTGGGCCGGTGGGGCAACGTCCTCCACAACTAGACCGAAGAACAAAACAACAGCAACTTGTCTGTTCCTTTCCCCCAATTCCCCAGCACTGTTCCCATCCCCCCAATTCCCCAATTAAAAAAAATCTTTAAAAAAAAATTAATTCTATTTACTAGCCCCCCCCCAAGTTATATACTATTATTACATGTATTTTAATTCTCTGAATATTTAAAAAATGCATAAAGACATTGTTGTTATTGTTTTATACAAAAATTTAGATTCACCCCATATGTAACTCTTACTTTTTTCATCTTCTTCCTGAATCTGACTTTCTATCTGGGATCATTTTTCCTTTGCCTAAGGTCCTTCTGCCTTTACTTCATTTAGAATTTCATTTATTGAAAGTCAATCAGTTTTTGTCTGAAAAAAATGGTGTTATTTTACTTGCATTCTTGGAGGCTGGCCATTATTTTCAGTTAGCACATTCAAAACATCATTCCAATATCTTTGGCTTCCACTTTCTTTTTCTGGTTGCTTTTGAGATTTTTCTTTGTCTTTGGTTTCTGCAATTTCTCCATGTGTCTGGTTGTGAGGATTTATATTTAGTTATTCTCACTGCCTGGTATTCACATCCTTGTGTCAGAATCCCAATATAGTCCTGATATTGGGGGAAATAATCGAGTGTGACTAGGTCGTAAAAAACACTGTAGCTTCCACCTTCCCCTCTTGAATCACTTGCTCTGGAGATGTCCATGTGGACCTAGAGGTCCATTTAGGAACTGAGGCCTCCTGCCAACACCAACCCTGAACTGCCAGCCATGTGAGTGGGACATCTTCAAAGCAGATCCTGTAGCCCCAGTAAAGCCTTTAGATGAATGCAGTCCCAACCAACACCTTGACTGAAACCTCATGAGAGAGTCCAAGCCAGAACCATTCAGCTAAAGCTACTTCCTAATTCCTGACCTACAGGAACTGAGAGGTGTTTATTGCTGTTTTAAGCCACTGAGTTTTAGGGCAATTTGTCATGCAGCAATAGATAACTAACACAATCCTGCTTGAATTTATTAGGCTTCCTGAATCTGTGGATCATTGTCTTTCAATAATTCTGAAAACTTCTCAGCCATTATCCCTTCTAACTTATTCTTTCCTTTCTTTCCTTCAAGGACTCCAACTAAATACATGTTAAACCTTCTCATCGTGTCTTCAGAGTCTCTCATATATTTTCTATCTTTTCATCTTGTCACACTGTATTCTAGACAGCTTCTCTTGACCTATCTTCAACTCACTAATTCTTTCTTCAGCCATTTCTAATGCTATTAAACTCATCCATAAAATTCTTCTTTTGCTTAACATATTTTTCAATTCTGAAATTTCTTTTCCTCAAATCTGCTGCAATTTTTTAATTTCAAGTTCCCTGACAAAATTTTCCACTTTAATTTGTATTTCTTAGATCATAGAAAATACAGTTGTTCCATAGTCTTGTCCACTAATTCCATAACTCATGTTTTTGTGATTTTTGTTTCTGTTGTCTATATGTCTGCAGGTTCTCATTCATGCTGTTTTGTTTCTGTGCACACCTGGTTGTCTTTGTGCACTGAACACTGTATTTGAAGTTATTTTTAGGAGTATCTGGATGCTAAAATGATGGTATGCTCTCCATTGAGGGTTTTGTTAGAAGCCTAACAAAACTTTTGCCAGGTGCTAGGGACACTTCAAGTTTGAAACACTTTAATCCAAATTCAAGACTTGAGTT